TTACACATTCAAGCAAAATATAAATGACATAACTAAACAAGTATGAGAAAGTTGAATAAAGGGAAACAAAAGTCTGTAAGCTTTGGTCATGCATTTAAAAATGTTAAAAAACATTTTATTTTCAATTATGTCTACCTGAGGCTAGATTCCCCTGGAGCTGGAGTTACAGGGAGTTGTGAGTTGCCCCATGTGGGTTCTAGGACCTTAACCCAGGTACTCTGAAAGAGCGGTATGTGCTCTTAACCACTTAGCCACTGAGCCACCTCTCCAGCCCATTCGTGTAGTTTTAATTAGATGCTGGGACAATCAAATTACAATTGCACTTAGACTCTTTTAGTTTAGCAAAAGATTGAAACATTTAAATTTGTTAATCTTCCCTAAATAATGGAATTACATCCTATATGACTTGGTATGTTGAAATGTTAAAATCTCTTTAAATTATTGTGACAGAGGCTTGGTTTGTGTAGCCTAGGCTGTTCTCTAATTCATGGTCCCTGTCTCAGCATCACCACACTCAGTGGAAGTGGAAGAGTGTGTCTTGGGGTTTAGTATCTCTTGAGAGCATAATTTCTTTCAGGGACTAGAGATCTCTAGCCTTGAGGCCTTTGCAGACTCCTCACCAGCTGAGCTTGGTCATGACTGACTTTGTATTTGGACACAGATGTGCAATCATATCACTGCAATTCTCCCTGCCTCAAAGTGGTTCCCACCATTTCATGGACCAGGAAGAGTAGAGCCTACAGATCATTCCACAGCTGCCTGGTTCTCATGACTTCTCAACACAGGGCAGCTACTGGGTTCTAGGCTCAGACTATTTCCTAAGTCACAGTGTTCTTTACCCTGCACTTCACACTCAACGCTCCACCCTATATTCATCCTACAACAGTATTTTTATGTTTGTTTTAACCTTTGGTTCTCTCCTGTCAGCACTGAAATAGCCATTTCAGCTTCCAAAATTAGACTTCCTTCAGTGTTTGCCAACTTAATTCCAGTTGGCTCCTCCTCTCACAGAACCATAGCCAGGGTCTATGCTCAGTGTACTCACTCAATTTTCATTGACTTTCCCCCCTCAAATCCATGTACAAAATATTCAATGCAAACATTGAATACAATGAAAACATTATTACTGTAATCATAAAATAACATAGAAGTCTAGCCTGAATCCAAAGCAAGCCTTAACCCCTTCACATGTGAAAGATGAGGTGGGTCCTTCCATATTTTCTGCAGTGGCCCATGGGAATGTATAGCAGTGACAACTAGTATTTAACAAGTTGACTCACCAAACATGATTCCTGATGGAGAGCTCCCCCTCCCCCCAAAAGGCCATGTGGCCACTGACTGTAATTTCTCTCAAGAGCCACTATATTTATTCCCTAAGAACAGCTTTGAGTGTATTCCCACTGTGTTTATCTCAGGTAAATAATCCATCTATAGGTACACATATAGCTGTGAATAGTCAGAAGGATGATTTCTGCTTAGCCTGTACAATTTTGATGAATAGAAATAATACTAGGACATTTTACATTACTCAGACTAACAAGAGGATTCTTAATCACAAAGACATCCTTTTACACAGACAGCTAACTTTAGACTTCAGAGCAAATTCAAAACAGGCTGGTTGCCCCTACAGACACACAGAGGTCAATTTCCTGGCATTACTTTTCTGATTCACGGTCAGGACAGAAGCAACTTTAGTACAACTGAAGGGAGGAGCAATAATATGAATAGACCATGATGGGGAAACTCACAGAATCAGCTGATGTGAGCTAGTGAGAGACCTGTGACTCTGGCCTGACAAAGGAGTAACCTTTGCAAGACTGAACTAGACTCCATTAATCTGGCAGTGGGCCCAGACTTTTAAATTTCTATCTTTATTGATTCCCAGGTTAGTTCAACATTTCCCTCTTCAAAGGTTATCACAACCAGTTTCATTACCAGTTCTTATCAAGAAAGCCATTATCAATTTCTACTCTCATCAGGAGTTTACAACCCAACCAACAGCCATTTAAATTTGTATTTTTCTGTTTATTACTTTCACATTTGTTGGATCTTTGTTTATGTTCACTTATCAATAATATTATCTACCTAGGTTAACTTTTCTTTTCCTCACTAATTTGAGAACTATTAAAATAAAATGGTGAATCATGGATTTTGGAACAGTGCATGAGGATTATGTTGCAATCTTGTCCCAAAAACGTTAATTTAGTGCTAATGTTCATTTTATTGGGTTGGTAAAATAATGCACACAACACCAAGGGTACACAAAAAATGCTCAATGATAGCCAGTCTTTCATATTTTGTAATTAGTTTATTATGTTGTAAATAATCACCTTTGTGTTTACCTTATCTACAGATATTTGAAGTTTTAAAATATTTTATTAGCATATTATACATAATTTTAACATATACATAATAATGTGTTTCATATATGGCCTCTCTTAAACACACAGACACACACACACATTATTATTAAATCTTGTCACCTTTCCACTGTTTTCCCAGAAAGATATTTTATTAATGTAATCAAGTCTATCATTTCTCCCTCTGTGGCTGTTATGGTAACAGACTTTTGTCAAAACTATTCAGTGAGTTGGCTGCCTCAGTGTGTTTTCCTATGCATCAGTCTACCTCAGCACTTTGGACAGGGCCTCAAGGTACTTCTTCCAGACTCAACTGTTGTTCTTTCATGAAAAACAAATGTTGGCCACTCCTTTTTATGTTCACCTGAAGAACAGTGTTTATTTTCTTATGGCTTCTCTTTCCACATTATATTTCCAGAATGTTCTTATCTGATGAATGGCTTCACAAAGCTCCTCTGAGCACAAAACAGTGAAATCATTAGTCATAGGTTCCACTATTTGTTGATGTTTCCAACTTGATGTTCCACAGTCACCTTGTTTTGGTTTTGGTTTTGTTTCCTGTCATGATAAAACACGCTGACAAAGGCAACCCAAGAATATTTTGGCTCACAATCCCAGGTTACAGTCTATCACTGCTAGGAAGCCAAGGCTTCAGAACTTGAAGAAGCTGGTTGGTCAAGAGCAGACAGCTATGAAATAATGCTTGCACTCCAGAGTTCAGCTCCCTCTTTCATTCAGTCCAAAGTCCAGCACATGACATGCATGACATGGGGCTGCCCCACATTTAGGGTTGGTCTTTCCACTTCAGTTAAACTCACTCTCAGGACTAAAGAGATGGTTCAGTGGTCAAGAGTACCTGCTGCTCTTACAGAGGACTCAAGTCAGCAACCAAGTCTGAAAAAACTCAGCTCCAGAGGATCCAATGCCCTCTTGTACATTCACGTTTCCACTAATGTACACACACACAAACACACACACAACACACACCACACACGTACACAGTCCCCCACAGAATGCTCACAGGCCAACCTAATCTAGACAGTTCCTCATTAAGACTCACTACTTAAAAGACATACAATGGTGACATACACCTTTAATCCCAAAACTTGGGAGGCAAAGGCAGGTGGAGATTTTGTGAGTTCAAGGCCAACTTAGTCTACAAATTGAGTTCTAGGACAGCCTGGGCTGTTTCACAGAGAAGCCCTGTATGGAAAAGCCAAAAAAACTACTTACTCAGGCGAGTCTAGATTGTTTCATTAACCATTAAAAGTAGTCAAAATATAACTTAAACTCTAAAATTGAATTCCATACATAAAATTATATATATGAAAAATCAGGTGAGCTTTAAGAAATACTTGTTTTTTTTCTTTATATTATAAATACTATGTATGGAACATTTCCATACAAAAGACTACATATTTGTAAGTGATATGCAGACAACACATGCAATTATAAAGTGAAAAAAGTAGAGAATAAGACATTTCACTTTAACTTTTGTGTCTCTTGAGTTTTTGCACCACAGCAGGCAATGACAATGAAAATAAGTATTAGTGTAGAAACCACTTCAGCAGTCCCATTCAGTTTGCTCCTTGTTCTTGCTCATGATCACTGCCAGTCTCACCCACTGCCTCTTCAAATGCACATCCACCACCACACTCTGCTCAATACCTGTTCATTTAATAACTGTCCCAAGGACATTCAGTAAGATGAAGATTAGACCACAGAGGAAAATATGGACAGGGTACTGTCAACACAATGCCCCAAGCACAACCAAGACAGCAATTACACCTCACGCAGTACTTCTTAAATAAATGATTCTTTTGACCATTTACAATTATTTATTTATGTCAGCAGTCATAAAATATTTTTATAATATACATAAGAAAAACACATTTAGATGAGTAAGAGATATAATGGTAGATGATAGAATTTAGTGTTTATAAATGAAAGTATCAATAACAGTCAGAGAAGAAAGTAAAACTATATTTAAAAATTGAAGCCATGCATTTAAATATTCCTAAATTCCAAAAGGTATTGGGCTTACTTAAGATAATATGGCTTAACATATTTTTCAAAGATCTCAAAACACTTCTAGAAACTGTCATAGATGGATATGAAAGGAAAGGAAGACAAGAACTTTGGCAAACAAAGTAGTAGACAGCAGCTTGGTAAAAGTTTAATCTTTTTATGTAAATGTTCTTCAATTTACAGTTGTTCTTATCATAAGAGAAAAATATGTTAATATGAGGAATCTCTAAGCTAGATGAAAAAATAACTATTTAATAGTAAAGCCTGAATGGAAATGTGCACCACACTGCATAAATAGAAATGGAGTGAATGCAAGCCAATGTGATTCTTAATGCTTCTATATAAAATATTTAGCTCCATGTCACATAGTGTCACTATGACCACATCTCTTCAGAAATAGCCAAGTCCATACCAAACTAATAAGCTTTTGTTGTCTTTTCTCATCTCCATCACTAAACATGTTCCTGTAAAATCCTCTGAGTGCATTCAGTACTCTAGTAATAAGCTGTATCATGCAAGAGCCATGATCACAACCTTAAAAACAAAAAACAAAACAAAATAAAACAAACAAACAAACAAAAAAACCCCACTGAGGTTGGAGAAGGAATCAAACCAGAGATTTGATATCTCAAAACCCATAGCTCTAAAAGACAACTCAACTTGGTTAAGAATTTTTTTTTTGTCATGAATAACTGGCTAATTAGGTGTCTAGAAAATGAGACTCTGAACTTAAAAGATGTAGCAAAATCAATTATGAATTGGCTGTCAAACACTTATGAATGCAAGAGAAACTGGTTGAAGTTTTACATAGAAAAGATATAAATACTGCATAATATGTAGTGAATATTTGCACAGTCCCTTTTATCTTTAAAGCATAAAATGCAACTTGCAAATCTGATGCTCCTAATTATGTCTTCTTAGGACACTTTTTGACACAGCTAGCAAAGACTCTCCATGCTTCAGAAGTTCCCACAGTTTAAGGCTTTCCAACAGGCTTGTAGCAAGCATCAGGTTGCCAGAGGCGAATATCAACAATGACCTGGTTGAGTTTCAGCATCCAGAGATCCCGCTCCTCTTTAGTATCTGCAGAGAGCCAGTTCCTGCAAGGGCAAGTAGAGGTCAGCTTCCCTCCCACCATTCCATGCCTCCCATATCCTGTCTAGGAAAACACAAATCTCTAAACAAACCGAGACTTGCTACCTACTTTCCAATTGATGCTAACCAGGAGCCACATGGGGTACTGTCATTGCTCTTGGTCTGGTCAACTAATCATAACTCACACTAAATCCTTAGGGTTTGTTTTTTTTATTTTTTATTTTTTATTTTTATGGAATCTCAGGTCTCATTGACTTCTATACACCCCATATCTATAACCTAGCAACAACCTAATAAATAGACTGTGTCACATTCTAACCTCCATCCCTAATCACAACCTGTTCTTCATTGAAGACTGCCTTCAAGTTTTTCTTGGGCATTTGTGCTGGACAATCTTTTTGCTGACTTGACACAACCAGGATCTCTGGGAAAAGGGAACCTTAAGTGAGAAACCCCTCCATCAGACTGGCCTGTGGAAAAACTCTGTGAGGGCATTTTCTTGATTATGGATTGATGCAGGTAGTCCTGGGTTCTATAAGAAAGCAGGCTGTGCAAGCCACGAGGAACCAGCCAGCAAGCAGCTTTTCTCCATGGCTTCTGTTTTAGATGCTGTTGCTTGCCAAAGTGTTCAGTTTGTTAACCTCCAAAAAGAAGTCTGCAGACTAAGATTAAATCAACTTTGTAAGTAATCTAATTAAATGAGAAACAGTGTTTCTCTGTACAATAGCCCTGGCTGTCCTGGAACTCACTTTGTAGACCAGGCTGTCCTCAAACTCAGAGACCTGCCTGCCTCTGCCTCCTGAGTGCTGAGATTAAAGATGTGTGCCAATACCGCCTGGCTATTGAGGATATTTCTTAATCAAGAGAAATATGCTTGCCTTCTCAACTACACATGGAATCTTCAAGTTTAACCCAAAGATCACCAGCTAACTGCTTGGAGAACAGTCATGACCAACTAAGATTCAACTTGAACAATATACTTTCCTTAATTAAATTCAGTTATTATAGGTTGTTCTCTTACTATTATATGTTCTCATGAGGACTTTACCCCTTTTCAAAGTTGAGGACCATCAATAATATTTTCCATATGCCTAAGAACAAAGCTGGCAACTACTTAGTTGACAGAAACAAGTATGGGACCAGTACATACTTGGTGACACAGAGTGTGTCCCTGCATTGGCTGACAAGGGTCTCTCGGTCGTCTTCTCTTTGTGGTCGGACAGTGATTAATTCCAGAGTGTTTCGTCTTGCACAAAATTCTCTGTTGGCTGGTTCTACCTGATGACTGATACAATTGGCCAGATTTATCCTTCCTACAGGATTCTTTCAAAATAAAATATAAAAAGCATTATAAAAACCAAGCAAGATTATTTGAATCAGTAAGCAGTGCTTAAGTTGGCATAAAGTTTTAAAGAAGCCACTATTTAAAGTTTAATATTAAACAACCAGGGGAAAAAAAAAAAAAAGAAGCATGAAGCATCCAAGCACAGGAAATGGCTTAGCAGCCTGGGACTTCTCTTGGCTTAGGTCGTACACACATCCCTCTCTGTTCAATGAACTTAGCAATCTAGTGGTCACCCTAGGACCTCACTTGCATCAGGCTGCACATACATCTGCTTTAAACAATGGGAATAAGTTCTTCCCTTATCAAACACTTGACAGCAGCCAGATTCTATTCACGTACAAAGGAACGCAATGCATGAATTACAGGCAATGGACTGATCAGGCCCACTTGGTTGTGGGTGCATGCTCAATAATATAAATCTATGTTCCCATGTAAACTTTTAGGAAATAATGTCTTATGATTATATATACATATGCATATATACATGTGCACACATTTGACTATGCATTCTCACACAGAATATGCACATCCAAAAACATTGTACATCACCAAAAATAATATCGAAAAATTCATTTTAAATAATAGAAAGTTCCTCAAAGTTTTAAAAAAATAGAATTACCATATGGTCCATTATAGTACTATTATAGTGACAGTTCTCAACCTGTGGGTCTCAACCCCTTAGGAGATTAAGTGATCCTTTCCCAAGACCATCCTGCATATCAGATATTTATAAAATGATTCATAACAGTAGCAAAATTACCCTTATGAAGTTGCAATGAAATAATTTTTGGTTGCGGAGGGGTCACCACAACATGAGGTCCAAGATTTAGGAAGGTTGAAAACTACTGCAGTAAGATTAGTGAGGTTGCTGTAGAAATAAAACCTCATTGTGTATCAAAGATATCTCATTGAAGGATTATTCACAATAGTTACAATATGGGAAAAACCTAAGGGTCCATCAAAATACAAATTTTAAAAATCTTTGGCATACATATACAATGGGTTATTGTTCTCCACAGTCAGCCAAGTGGTGGTGGTGCATGCCTTTAATTCCAGATCTCAGGAGGCAGAGGCAAGAGGATCTCTTTGAGTTTGAGGCCAGCTTGGTCTACAGAGTGCATTCCAGGATAACCAGGACTGTTTGTTATACAGAGAAACCCTGTCTCGAAAAACAAAAACAAAATGAAAAGAAAGGAAGGAAGGAAGGGTGAAAGGAAGGAAGGAATAAAGAAAGAAAACCGCATGTTGTGATCTGTGAAGGATGAACAAGAATGAAATACAGTAGCTGAAATAAATCCCAAGAACCAGCTACGCCACTCCTTGGCATGTGCCCACAGGACTTCCAACTCCACAGCCTATCCAGACACTTGCTCAGACAGATTCACTGCTTTAATTCACAATAGCTAGGAAATGGAAACAACATAAATACCCTTTAACTGATGAATGGATAATGAAAACGTGGTACACACATACTATTCAATTGTAAAGAAAATGAAATAATCAACTAAGCCATGTATTTGTTAAAATATGCAAGCAAATAAACAAGAACTAAAAAGTATGGTGCTGTGAAAAGAAAATGAAACATAAAAAGTAAGACTGAAACTAGGAGCTTATTGTGCTAAATATATTCATGTTTAGTGGAGAAAGTATTATAACCATTCAATGATGATGGTACAACCAGTTGTCCAGATAGGGAGAAAAATCAATTCTAGTTAAGTTAAACTTCATGATTTTCATGATTTTAGGAGGAGGTATAAGAGAAATTTTTCTGACTATAAGATAAGGGTGGGCTTTGTTTTTTTTTTTTTTTTGTTTGTTTGTTAAGATAAAGAGTACAAACAAGCTATGTAACAGATTGACAGATCTGATTTCCTTAATAGTAAAAGTTATTTGTGAAAAAGACTTAGAAAAGCTAAAAGATAAGTCAAACCAAAAACTACTAAAATGTAATTTCAATTTGCCAAAAAAAAAAAAAAAAAAAAAAAAGAAGGAAGAAGGAGAAGAAGAAGAAGAAGAAGAAGAAGAAGAAGCAGCTAAAAAGTAGATAAAGTTAGTGCCAATATGGTGGTACCTGCATGCAATCCCAGAGCTTGAAAATCAGAAGCAGGAGGTAGAATCTGGAGGGTTTCAAGTTCTGGAACTCACTGGGTCACAAGCAAGACCCTGGCTTAGTGGTTAAGAGAACTCACTGTTCTTGCAGATGACCCAGGTTCCATTCCCAAAACCCACATAATGGCTCACAACTATCTATACTCCAGTTGCAGGAGGATCTTACTGGTATCCAGGGGCATTAGGCACACATGTGTTACATGTAGGCAACACACTCATACACATACAATAAAAATGAAGCTTTTCTAAAAATTAATAATTTTAATGACTATAATATGCTATTTGGTATAATGTAATGCTGTTTAGCAATTATTAAAAACATTACAAGTATGTCTACTGCTTTAGAAGATGTCTGGAATTTTTCTGAAATAAAAAATAATTATAAAAGTGCTTGTTTTTGTTTGAAAAAGACAATTCCATAAAAAGACTCTGGGGGATCCAAGTTAGCAGTACCAGTGTGTGAACTAAATAAGGCTGTGGGCTCAGTCTCCAGCACTAGTGGGGGAGGTGGGAAATAGGAGAGCAAGGGAAATGACTCACACATGTATATATAATTACTATTATATATTTTTAGCTGTAGATAACCAAAACATGAACAGTTATTTGTTAATACACACTCAAGGGGTGGGGGTAGGTAGAACACCACAAAAACCCAGCAGGCCTTCTACCACTGACTACAGTTGTGTTAATTACCTTTCGCCTCTCATCATCTGGGTAAGTCCAGTAGGAGATACAGTTTCCAGAGAGAACACACCATCTTCGATGCCAGGCACCAAATCCACTAACGTCTTCAAATATAGTCTGGAAGTCAATTGAAACACTGACATCAGAAGACTGAAGAACATTGTCCTTATCTGTGACAATTTTATGTGAAAATTTATTTGAATGAGTTTATTGTGTCTTTTACTTCAGTAATGAAAGTCAGATTGTCAGAAAGTCAGAAAGTGCAAAAATGCACTTAAGAATATCTAGATTGAGCTGAGCACGGTGTTTGTGATTACTGTGAGTTCAAAGTCAGCCAGAGCCATACAGAAAAACTTCACATACACAATTGATAGTGAAAGTGCAGACTTCAATGTGCAGTAGCACACCTTCCAAATGGCTGTCTTAACTACACAGAAGTTCACTGGGATGCACAGGGACGTGGGGGGTCTCACTATGTGATTTTTTTTTTTTTATTTTCAAGTTCTTTATAGTGAATTTTTAATTATTTTTTAAAAAGACAGAGACAGGTAGATCCCTGTGAGTTCAAGACCAAGCTGGTCTACATAGTGAGTTCCAGGATGACCAGGTCTATGTAAAACAAACACTGCCTTAAAAATAAATAATAATAATAATAACAACAACAACAATAAAAGCAACCAAACAAAAAATACTAGAGAGTAATGGCAAAATTGAGATGGCCAATGTAAATCTTTGTGAAATGTTGCCAACAACTCTAGGTGACTGCCATGTATCACAGTAAAATGTAGAAAGAAACCCACCACTTCTGTTTCAAGTGTCAGAAAGGGAAGCAGGTTTATTCCCTTTCTCAGCAGATTCCTGATCCTGCCACCCAGCTTCTGCAAGGTTAGGGTCAATCTGAGCATTCTCCTGCCTTTTCCCTTCTCACTCCCTGCAGATAAATCACTAGGACCTGCCCATCATCTGCCCATGCTTGCCTTCAGCCGCAGCTGTGGTCTCTCCTCTCTCATATGGAGTGGCAGACTTAGTGAGCTGCCCCTTTCAAGTCACCAGTCTCTAAACTACCCTCTCCACATCAGTCAGTCATTTCCCTAACCTAAAATGTGGTTACTTTCATCTCTTAAAACCCTACAATAGTCCCTCACTTGGCTTCAGAATAAAGTCCAATTTCTGTAAAATACTTGATCCATTTCTCTAACTATACAGTCTCTTCATTCCCCACCTCTATATCCAGGCTAAGCTCTTACTATCCTGAAATATTCAGCACTCTCTCCTCTTCTCTCTGGGTTGGGGTAAGAGAGGGAAGGGATAACCAGGACACTGTTCCACTTACCAGCAGCATTTCTCTCCTTCCCTTCTGCTGACTTACTAAGCTCAGCTCAGAGCAGTGTGCCTTATGCTTTCTCTTGTGATGCAAGGCACTTGTTGACTCACTTCCTTCATAATAAAGTACAAGCTCCTCCTGGGCCAGCAAGATGGCTTAATGGATAAGGGCACTTACAGCCAGCCTTATGACTTAGGTTTGATTCCAGAACCCACAAAGTACAGAGAACTTTCTGCAAGTTGTCCTCTGACTTCCACAAACACATTGTGGCACATATGTGCACCTCCCAAATAATTAATATAATTAAAAATTTTAAAGCTCCTGCAAGTGGAGAGATCCTTGTCTGTGTGTAATTATATCCCAGCACCAGCACAGTGAGTGGCTTAGAGGGAATTGCAACAAATCCTTACAAAACCAATTTATCAGGTAGTCACATAGGCATTTCTTCCTATAGAAGACAGAAGAGAAGGTACCGAAGAAAGAGAATGGTACTCACTAGGAAACCTTTCTCCTCAACACTTGAATTCACTTGACAGCTGATTTTTAAACAGATATGACCTTCCAAAGGAGATAAGAAAGGTACCTGTGAAGAAAAAGGGGAATTATTTGTAAAATCGTTTCAGAGTGTAATCTTTCTTCATAAACCATGAACACAGAATACCATACCCTGAAAATTAATCACATTCTAAAGTTGAAGTATAAAAGAGCAACGGAAACTTTTAAAGAATACATTTATTCAAAGTAGAGTTTTACAAAAACCAAAGCTCAAAACTCCAAATTAATGAGAAAAGAAAGATGTGAGAATAAGAGCTGGGGACTCCTTTATCATGAGAAGACACTCAGGAGAACCCTGGATAGACCAACTGCTTACACCTATAATGCAGCATTACTTAGCAATAAAAGAAAAATGAAACATAGGAAAGGGAAAGCCAATCCTTAAATCTGTATGAAATTGCAAGGGACTATAAATACTCAAAATAATCAAAAGAACATTTGGATGCATCATACTTCCCAGTTTATGAATTAGTTCAAAGCTTAACTAATGGAAATAGCATCATAGCAGCAGAGAGACAGACACACAGGCAAATGGAGCAGAACTCGGGGTCAAGAAAGGGCTGAGGATGCCGGTAAGGCTGAGACGGTTGTAGCATGTACAAGGCCCTGACTCAGTGTGCCGCCTGTAAACAGGGACCAGAGATAAGCACATTTCGACACACAATTACTTTTTTGTTGCTCTTTGCCAATTAATTTTTGAAAATCGTGCCAAGACTATTCGAAGAAATAGAGCAGTCTTGAACAAATGGTATTGAGAAAACTGGAAATTCACATGCAAAAGAGTAAGTCTAGTGTCTTCGCTGGGTTCCTATTGCTTATGATAAAAGCAACTTGGAAGGAAATAAGATGTATTTCCCAGTCACAGTCCATCACTGAGGGAAGTTAGGGCAGGACCTGGAGGCAGGAGCTGATGTGGATGCCATGGAAGAGTGCAGCTTACTAGCTTGCTTCTGTCTATACACCCCAGGACCAGCCGCTTAGTAGTGTCACTGCCCACAAGCCAATCTGGTGGAAGTACTTTCTCAACTGAGGTTTCTTAATCTCAAATGTGTCAAGTTAAAAGAAAAGAAAACAAAAAACACACCACAAAGAAGGACAGCTGGGCCTCACTTCCTAACATACATAAAAGTTAACCCAGAATAGATTATGACTTAAATATGAGAGCTAGTATCAGCAAAATACCTTAGAAATAAAATTTCATGATCATAGATATGGCAAAAGCACAAGTAACATGAAAATAAAATAGTCTCATCAAAATTTAAAACCTTTCAGAAAAGAGGTTCTTCAGAAATTAAGAACAAAGTACAGAGACTCATAACTGATCAAAATACAGAGGATAACGACTATAGAATGAAGAAGGGTGCAATAATATAACAGAGAAAGGGAGCGGTGTGGGATGTGCTAACACCAGGGATCATGAGAGGTCACTGCAATCCTGAACTCACAACATCTGTGATTACCAGTTCAGGAACTCTGCAAGATTAGGCCAGTCAACATTCTGTCATGGAAAGGAGTAACAGTTGATGGCGGAGGGAAAAAAGATTTCTTCAGTGATGCAGTCACAAAAGGGGCTCATGTTTTTAGGGTGAATGGACATGTATGAAAAAACAAACTAAAATGCACTAATATGGGTATTAATATGTTAACAAAAACATTTAAAAACAACATAATTATAGTCAAGAGCAGTGGCACCAATTTAATCCAGGCAGTGGGAGGTGGAGACAGGGCTAGAGGTCAAGACCATTCTCAGGTACATAGCAAATTCAAGGCCAGCCTGGCTACCTGAGGCTCTGCCTCAAAACAATACAATAAACAAACAGGGCCACCAAGATGGCTTACTGGGTAAGCCTTAAACCTAAATTTCATCCCCAGGACCCACACAAGGAAAGGAGAGATTGTCCTTAAACTTACATGTAAGTGCTATAAGCATGCACAAGCACACACACAAAGTAAATAAATACAATTTTTTAAAAAAGGACTCTCATGACACCATGATCACTCTTCTCAGCACGAGACAAAGGAATTGGTTCTCAAAGTCATACCTGCACTACTCACAAAAGCTGAGAAGCAAAAACAACATGTCAAAGTTTACATGTGTGTAATACTTGGAAAAGCCAAAGAACTCAACAACAAAAAAGCCAAAAGCCAAAACTCAATGCAAATTAGACTCACAAGAAAGGTGGTTGTGGTGGCTCAAACTCACAATCCTAGCAGGAGGAATGCCTCAAATGAGGGCAGAGCCTGTCTCAAACCAGCAAGCCATGTCACAGCTCCTAGGAAGGGTATGGTATGTCTTAAAAGGAAAACCCTTGTGCAGGGGCCATGCTCATCTTCTCTGTATCATTCCAGGGTTAGTATGGGGTGGGGGTTGAGGGGTAAGAGGAGTAGGGGTAGGAAGTGGGAGGAGAGGAGGGAGGGGAAGCTGTGGTTGGCATGTAAAATAAATTTTAAAAAAATGAAAAACAGAGAAAAAAGTTAAAAAGAAAATCCCCGGGAAGTGGAACCTCATATTATTGTGGCTCTTCATAAGGATAAGTGAAATCATCATTATGTCTCCCCAGTCATGTTCCAAAGCTGGTTTCATGTTCATAGGCCCAAAAACTTGAAAAGAGCATTCATACTATTACATGCACACACAACCACAGAAGCAAGCCAAAATACAATAGGATTTAAGATAATTTAACTTGTCCAAGCACAGGCTAATGTAATGTTTATGGAAGGGAGGGCCAAGCCAAGCTTAGTAGCTTTAGGTATCTTAAGTGATTTTTCAATTTATGATGAAATTAACAGGATATGAACTCATTTCAAGTTAAGAAGCATCTATTGACAATACAAATAAACACACAATTGAAACAGGGACCCAAATGGACTCAAAAAAATTAAAATTTACCCATGAACCTCAAGATGATGGAGGCAAAGGCTACCTCTGGCCCTAGTGGGGGCTGCCTCCTCAAAAGGAATTCAGAAACTTTCTCACAAATTAACATATGCATATTTCCAGGGTTTTTGTTCATTTTTTTCTATAAAAATTTAACATGCCATAGGAAGTGCTATTTTCCCCAGCTAGACCAAGCTATAAATAAATCTACTGTTCCCTTGCTAATTTCTGTTGCTAATTTTTCCTGAAATAGAGGGAAAACTAAAGTGTAGGGACCCACATGCCATCTACAACCACTTCCTTCTCTCTCACACACACAATTTCATCCAGGAGAACAAAAGGGACCTGACAATGATTACCCTGTGGATTATATACTCATTTTTTAAGCTGCTCTAAAGTACACATAACACTGAACTCTGTTCATGGTAACAGTCATCCTATGCTTGTGTCATTTTACTTTGGGGCAGATTTCTAAAACTATGGGGTCCATACTAAAGTCAGTCAGCCTGATGTTGGACAGAAATAGGCTTAGACTTAACAATGAAAGCCAATACAGAACTCTAGCTGCAGGAGTGATGTTTAGTCTCTATACAAAGACGGTACAAATCATATCCCACTGCACAATGTGACTCTTCACTCTTGAAATGCTCTTGATCACAACAGATATAGTAATCTTAGACAAACATATACCCTCAAATTATTCCCAATTCTGTTTACTAAATTTATCCTACTGTATGTTTGACAGATTTAAGATGAAAAGGACCTGGGGCAGCTGTAGTCTCCTATTCCTGTAGTTCCAGCATTCAGGTGGCTGAGGCCAGAGGATTGCAACAATTGGAGGTCAGTTTAGACTACAACTGACCAAGATTCATGACTTAAGCGCTAGAATTCAGCCTTTAAATTAAGTTTCAGCTCAAATAACAGAGAAATCTACCACCTGTGGACCTAACTCCCTCTTCGTGACCTCTGCAGGAACCAGGTAAGCACATGGTACACATACATACATGTAGCCAAAATACTCATACACATAAAGACAATTTTAAAATATCATACCAATAGTTCATTTAGTACACCAGAAGTCAAATGTAGAATAATTTTAGTCTTAAACACAGCTATTAATTTTCTATTCTAACTTGTATGCAAAAATAATATGAAAGTGAATATAGATTTCCAAAGAATGTAAAATGTTGGCTGGGAATGTAGCTCAGTTGATAGAGTGCTTGCCTAGCATTTAGGAAGCCCTAGGTTTCATTCCTAGCATCCAATATTCAGCCAAGAAGACCAATGGCTATGACCCCAGAATTTGGAAGGCTGCTTGATCACAAGTTGAAGGTCATCTCTGGCTACATAGAAGTTCAAATTCAGCCATTGATAAATGAAAACTTGTCTTAAAAAAAAAAAAAAAATAAAAAAGCCAAGTGTTGGTGGTATACATTTTAATCCCAGCACTGGGGAAGCAGAAGCAGGCAGATCTCTGAGTCCAGCCTGGTCTACAAAGCAAGCTCCAGAATAGCTAAAGCCGCTACACAGAGAACCCATGTCTCAAAAAATAAAATAGAACAAACAAAAACAAAAACCCACTACAACAAAAAAGAATCACAGAATAGAAGAAACTATGTATATAGAAAATTCTAAAGCAAACCTATAGAGAAATAAAATTGAGACATTCTAAAGAAAACTATAAAGAATTATGAAATTAAAGAAAAAGATGCCCATCTATAAGAGTACAAAGGATGAATTTTTTGTCTCTACATATATATTGTTAATTATTCAAGTAAACCAAAAATATACAAGAATGATTATAGAAACAAACACACATGAACCAAAAATCAAGGGTTGGTTATTGTTTTGAAAAGGACATTAGGGTTTTGTATTATTAAATTCACTCATCAGAACGTCTACTTAACCAGCAGCTTTAACATAACATGATTATGAAGTCATAAGACAGAAAGAAAATGATTTCTTAAGCACATTGATTTTAAGTAAAGAAAATAAAGCAACCTTTTCCTGGAACAAATAGCCCAGTAGCTCCTGCTCTCTTACATCAAAATTTATCTAAATAAACAAAAAAGAAAAAACAAAAGATCCAGAGTCACTCGATGTGCTAAAACTAATTGGATTACTAAGTAAAAGTTACATACAATTTTAGATATTAGCATGTTAAAATAATTTTTGTGTTAACAGTAGTCAAAACGAAAACATACATGGTCAGCAATTGTCTATCAATCAAAAATAATATTTTTATAGTTCTAATGTTAGGCTGGCTTGTATTAGTCTAATATTCCCTAATATTTGCTAGGAATTAAGAAGTTACCAGCTGAGCATGCATGAGACCTGGAGTTTCCTCCAGGGCTCCTAGAGGAGGAACAAGCTGCAGAATGACAGAAACCAAGCCTCATCTTCACACAGTTTCACCTCTGTGTTCTGACTAGAGAATCTCTAGTATAAGATACCCAGAGACTGCATGCTCTCTCCACATGGAGGATTTTTTTTAGCAGTGGGTCTGAATGTCAATAGTGACTACTAAAGATGGAGAAGGACATAGGAAAGGGATGGAGAGGAGGGAGGCTGAAGGCCAATCACAATCAGGCTAGGCATCATAACCCATGCTGCTGGTAGTCTCAGAAATTCAGAGGTAGAAACAGGAAGATCAAGAGTTCTGGGTCAGCCTTGGCTACACATAACAAGATTGGGGATGGCCTGGGCTATGAGACCTTAACTCAAAACAACAACAACAACAAAAAAACTCCACTATAAAACAAAAAACAGGAAAAAAATTTCTACAATTAGAAGGAATAAATTCCAGTGTCCACATCACAGTGGGAGGATTATATTCATATTAACCTATTATGTATTTTAGGAAAAACCAAGACAGAAGCTCAAAAGTTCTAAACAATAAGGAATAAAGAAATAGGAATTCTAATTATCTTGACTGGATCAGTACACTGTGTACATGTGTGTTAAAATAAATATGCAAATTACTACATGTCAATACAAAAATTTTAATTAAGATTTAAAAATTCTATTTTAAAAAAAATCTGTATTTTAAAAAACAATTACTATATTATGTATCAGGAATCAACCTAAGAAAGTTCACCTCCAATCTCTCACTCCCAACCATAGTCTCATTAGCTATTTAAATGCTTATTTACCTTGAACTATGGTGAAAAGCACTCTATAGTGATAAAATGTAGATCTGAAGTTTGAAGCATTACATTTAGGAAGGAAGTATAGGAAAGAAATCTCCTAAGTTAAAAAGATATGACTGACACATGCCTATAATTCCAACAAAGAGAGGTTAAGGCAGGAGGACCAAGAAAGTTCAAGGCTAGCCTGGACTATATATACAACAAGTTTCAGGCTAGCCTCAATGACACAGCAAGACCTTGTCCTATAAAATATAAAAACTGAAATCTGTAACATATTGAATTATTTAAAAATATAAACATCTAAATGCAAGGTATAATGTTAGTCAGAACTGCCACAAAAAGCAGTATAGACTGAAGATTTAAATATATTAATATACAAAACACTCCCAACATATATCACTCATGAATACCTCTAGCTATTAAAATGTATAATTCTAAGAATGTGTATTTCAGCCAATGATTTCAAACGTCTGAAAATATTATTTTGGAATTTCTATACACTAATGTTTTTAAGTGAAATACAATCATAAGTACAGCTGAGTTACCTTGTCCAAAGCAAACTTAGTGTCTCCGACAGAAGATAATGACAGTGTGTGAGATCCAACAAGCACAAAGTTGCTGGTACGCACAGCACTGAGACCTCCTGGACTGGCCATAACTGTAAATAAATGAAGCAAAATTTAATTCAGATTGGCTTTCTTAGGTTTGAATAGGAATGGCCCCATAGGCTCGTGCTTCATTGCTTAGTCTTCAGTTGATAAATCAATTGGGAAGAATTAGGTGTGGCTTTGGCAGAATAGCCTTGCTGCACCACTTCATTGGAGATGTGTTATTGGGGGTAGGCTTTGAGGTTTCAAAAGTCCATGCCAAACCTAGTCTCAATTTCTCTCACTCTCTCCAGCAACAACCCCCCCCCCCCGGCCACCCACCCAAAGGCCTGTGGATCAGAGTATAAAGCACTCAACTATTGCCTGTCTGGTTCCCACCATGACCATGATAATCTCACTCTCTGAAACTGTAAGAATCCTCCACAATGAAATGCTTTCTTTTCTAAGCATTGCTTTGGTCATGGTGTCTCTTCACATCAACACAACAGAACAGTGATTAAGACACTGTAACAAGTAATGACTTCTTACCATCCTCATGAATGAAATCAAACTGCCAGAGAATATGTCTCATTTTCACTTTCTTTCTTTTGTCTTTTGAGACAGGGATGCATCCCTTCATCCAGGCATGGCTGAACTACCAGTTAGCTGAGAATGGCCGTGAGAGCACAGCAATCCTCGCATGCTTCAGCTTTTCTGCTATCAAGATCACTCACAGTGCCCATGCCCAATGTTCTACAGTTTTACTTTAGTGTGTGTGCGTACACAATCACATGAAAATCAAGAGAACAATTCTTTCCTGCCTTGTTGTGGCATCCCAGGATCAAACTCAGATCTTAAGGCCTACATACAAGAATCTACCTGCTCAGCCACAACCATACTGTCTCTACTTTAAGTATGGAGGAAAAACAAAGAACACGTTTTCCTAACAAAATAAAACTATTTAGGAGATTATTTCTACATAAATAAAGCAATTTCCCTGTTAAAAAAAAAATACAGAAAAGTTAGCCAGGTACATAGATGGCTCAGTAGGTGAAGGCATTTGCCAACCCAAACCTAGCCTAAGTTCAATCCCTGAACCCCATATGTCAAAGAAGAGAACCTACTGACTTACACGTGTGCAAGTGTACACAGACACATACCAGTAAATAAAAGGTCAAGAACTATGGAAAAGGCTCCCTGAATATTGATAGTCCTGAGTGACCTTCGTAACACAGATCTTTGTTAACTCTCTTGTGCCATAGGCAAGAGAACAACCACAGGGGGTAAATGAGGCCATCACAATCCCCTTTGAAAACTTGAGCCTAAATTCATTTTAGAGGACTTTCCTTGTTCACTAGCAGCCCTGTTCCCAGGAACCTACCTAGAGAGATGCTTTGTTGACATATTATAATGCTAGTTGAAATTGGTAAAGTTAAAAGAAGCAAACTCCATGGCGTTGATAACAGAAAAAGAGAAGTAGGGCTGAATAATAACACTACATGCTTAAACTATTAAGTGACAAGTACTGACTGCTGCAATCAGGGAAAAGGGGAGGGGGGAAGCAAAAACCAAAACAACCCTAGTGATTAGCTCAGATTGCTGTCTAACAAGGTTATAAAATAAGACTACATGGTTTCCTGGCCAGTAATATATGTTGCTTTAAAAAGTCCATGTAGGAAATGTTTTCCCATGGATGGAAAAATGTTCTTGCAGGACTAGAGGACAGTTCCCAGCACTTATTATGGGGTGGCTCACAACTGCCTTTAACCCTAGTTACAGGAAATCCAACACCCTCTTCTGGCCTCCATAGGCACCTGCATTGGACAGGAAGAAGAAGCGGTTCAGTAGTTTAGAGCACTGGATCTTCTTAAAACAGAAAATATTTTCCCAAAGCAAATCAAGGAAAGAATGTGTATATATGTGTGGATGGTTGAATATATTTATAAAGGTATGTACCTGTTAAATTTAATTATTCCAAAGTTTCAAATAGTTTAGATCCACTCACCTGAAGAATGAAGGTTGCTTTTCTAACAACAACAACAACAAAAAAAAAGGTGAAGAAGATACATTAATTTTCTATTATTTAGTACACAAATTTAAATGTTAAGTACAAAATTTTAACACAAGGACTAGTTGAGAAAACATATTAATAATTAACAATCGATAATTATACATCAATAATTATACTACATAAGTAGCAAAATTAACATGTCTTTATCTTGTGAAAGCCCACTTCTGCCTCTTGGGTAATGGGACCTATTAATATATTTTAAAGATTTCTATAGTATTAAAGGTTTAAAGCTGATTTGTCAATTTGTAGTCTTATTAAAAATGTACATTTATCAAGAGGATTTAATTTTTGTAAATTTTACTTACTGAAGTTATAGATGTAAGAAGTCTCTTTGGGGTAATGGCCTGTAAGAGAGAGAAAATTCAGCACATTTCTATTAAATATTGTGATTCAGAGCTGAAAAATGAATGTTCTTAGAAAATAACTGTTAAATATAAACAGACAATACTTAACTCCTTTATCAAGGTTTTTTCAAATACTGTTATTCTCTTTGAAAGTAGAGCCAAATTTTTTTTTAAAGTTTTCTCTCTTCCCACCCAACAAAAAAGAGAGAATAAAGCAAGACTTAAAAGCTGAAGACAAAAAAAATTTATTTCTTGATTTTCAAGACAAGGTTTCTCTGCTGGACTACAACTCAGATATGTGCCTGCCACTGACTCCCAAGTGCTGGGATTAAAGGCATGAGCCACCACTGCCCAGCCAGAAAAAATTCCTAATGACTTAGGAAGCAAACAAGAGAGCAATTTCAGAAAGGTGGGAACCAAGACCCTAACAATCCTATTTCTCTACCCTAGACTTTGTAGACAGTAGCACAAAGGAAAGCTGAAGCCGCTGTACACTCAATTTTTAATTCAGAATAAGATACTCTGTGTGTATTAGAAGGGCCCTGATTACACTTGTCATGATCACGTCTATACATTTACACTCTACAGTCATACCCATTTAATGCAGTAAATAGAAATGTGGGGCCTACAACTGATTTTTAAAAAATCTCAAAAAAAAAAAAAAAAAAATCACTGAAACTTGTAATTAAAACTAAAATGATGTTGTTGGCTCGAATAGGAATGGCCCTCATAGGCTCATAGATTTGAATGCTTGGTCACCAGGGAGTGGCACTATTAGGTGTGGCCTTGTTGGAAAAGTGTGGCCTTGCTGAAGGAAGTGTGCCACTGGGGATGGACTTTGAAGTTTCAGAAGCTCAAGCCAGGTCCAGTGTCTGTCTGTCTTCTTTTCCTCTCCTTGTTATTTGCTAATCCAAATGTAGAACTCTCAGCTCTCTCTCTAGTACCATGTCTGCCTGCCATGTTTCCCACTATTTATCAATAGACTAAACCTCAGTAAGCCAGTTCCAATTAGATGCTTTCCTTTATAAGCACTGTGTGGTCACGTGTCTCTTCACAGCAACAGAACATAGACTTAGATGACATTGTTACTATAGTGCTTTTCTTAGGTCTCTGTAATTCTCACCTTGGACTTCAACGCTTTCTTCTTCTTATCAGGGCCTGATGAATCTTTCTTTTGTACCTACACACAAATCCAAAACATAACTACCTTAAAATCTAATATTAGTAAGGGAATACATTATTGTTTATTACAGAAAGTTTTTTAACTGCTTACCAAGCTGTAAACTTCAACATTTATTTCAAAGTCATTAGAAACATCATGCCTGAAAAAGAGTATTAAATAAAACTGTAATCAAAACCTAAGTTATGCCTTTAAAAATATTGTACAAACACTTGCTACAAGACTCAAAGTAAAAGACTCCATTATATATTTTAAAAGCACAAAAAAAGCTGGCAAGAATAATAAAAAATTGTAAGAACAAAATTTTTTCTGAAATTTGTGTTATAAAAATCAAGTCAATTGTAATAATAAAGTAAGGCCAGTGAGATAAAACTGCTTGCAACCAAGCCTGAATGAACACTTGAGCTCTATCCCAAGACCCACAGGGCAGAAGATTCCTAACAAGCTCTCCTTCTGCCTCCCTCATACATGTGCTGTTACACGCAGGCAATTTTAGAAGTTTATAGAATAAATAATAGTAATAATAAAAGCAGATTTTTCAAATTAAATTTTGACTGCAATTTTAAAATATATAGTTGATACTAATTATCTTTTTTGTTGATAATGAAATATTATTATAGTTGGGCAGGGTGGTATACACCTTTAATTTCGGCACTTGGAAGACAGACAGACAGATCTCAGAGTTTGAGGCCAGCCTGGTCTACAGAACAAGTTCCACAATAGCCAGGGCTGCAAGGAGAAACCCTGTATCAAAAACATAAAAAAATTAATATTATTATATGATTTAAAGCATTCATAAAAAATGGTGTAAAATACTGAAGCACTATATGTACTGCATATCTATAGTCAAAAAAAGTATCAGTGAAGGAAATAAATCAGAAAAAAGACTAAAACTAAATAACTGAAAATTGGGTTATCTGTTCATATTTAAAGAATAACAGGCTCAAAAGATGGCTCAGAAGCTAAAGGGGCTTGCTGCACAAGCCTAGCAACCCAAGTTCAATACCCAGAGCTTACATAAAGGCAGAAGTAGAGAACAGATTCTACAGTTATCTTCTGATTTCTACATATGCACCTACATCTTGCAAGTACACACACACACACACACACACACACACACACACACACACACAGATGATAATCATAAATAACTTTTTGAAGATTTACGTGTAGGGGAGTCTTGCCTACGTGCATGTCTTGTGTATCACATGAGGGCAGTGGCTGCAGAAGCTAGAGGGCACCTTGGGAACTAGAGCCACAGATTTCTGTGAGCTGCCATGAGGATATTCGGAACTAAACCTGGTTCTTTGTAAGACTAGCCATTGTTCTCAACCACTGAGCCATTTGCTCCAGCACCTTATAAATAAATTTAAAAGAAGAAGAAAAAAAAAAGAGAGAGAGAGAGAAAAGAAAAAAAAAATTGGAGAAGGTGCTCACATGGGCCTGTCTCTTCCTGAGACACTGGCAGCTGATGGTTATCCGGGTGGGGGAGGACATGGGACATTTCTTTCAGTAGGCCAAACACTGATAAGGTGCCCATGCTACTGTAAGTAACTCCTTGGTCCTAATTTAAACTCAATAAATAAAATAGACAAAGTGAGGGCATGGGCTCTCTAGCATATTGGTAGAGCACTTGCCTAACACCCAAGGCCCAAGGTCTAATTTTCAATACTACTAAAAAGAAAAAACAAAGGACTGAAAGTAGATGGGAGACTATTGAGGAGAACAAAGGGACCAGTATGAGTCAGATGAGACAAGAGAAGGTAGTGGGGAGTTAATATAACCATAAATATTATATATGTGGGTATGAAAATGTCATGCCATCATGTATAATATGTGCTAATAAAATGTTGCATTAACTATAATAAGTTAGCAAGCAAAAGTAAAGGCATTTTAAATACTATAAAGTTTGAGGCCAAGTGGTGGTGGCATGCCTTTAATCCAGCACTTGGGAGGTAGAGGCAGGGGAATCTCTTTGAGTTCAGGGTCAACCTGGTCTACAGAGTGAATTCCAGTACAGCCAGGGATACACAGAGAAGCCCTGTCTGGAAAAACCAAAAACCAAAACAAAAGAAAAAAAAAAAAAAAAAAAAAAAGGCCAAACACAAACTATAAAAGTTTGGGATATAGTTTGCTAATTAATAGAATGCACATTTAGCATGCACAAAGCTCTGAGTCCCATCCCATGCACTACAATAGATAAAATAAAATAAATATCACTAGAATGCTGAGACTGTCTTAACCCTACTAAAATGTATCTGAACCATAAGATGCTCAATTTACTTACAGAGTAAATGTAGTGGTAAATGTCAGAGCGTCACCACTAAGAGAGTTTGAGGTACTTGCTAATGGTGTGGCAACCATATGTTCAGCTCCAGCTTTTAGCATAATTAAATAGTAGTAATTTGATGCATCTGTAATAAATAACCGCATTGCAAAATTAGCAAAAGAAGATTAAACTTAGCATTCTGGAAGCCCACATTATACAGCAGCTGACCCATATAAAATTTATATTTATAATTTTTAAGATCAGTTTTCTCAAAACAAAAAACTAAAAAAGACACAATCTGATACCTACAGTCCAGGGATAAAAATCAAGTCTCCTAATTACATAAAGCAAAATAACTTCATTCTACATTCCTCACTTTCTGCTATAATCGATTAGGCAGTAGTTAGCATATACCTCCAAAGGGTAATTTTGATTTTGTTTTTTCAAAATTGAGATTTAAAAACCATTAAAGGTACTCAGGGATAATATCTAATAAAAAACATTCACTGTCACTAAGTAACAATATCTCAAAACAAATACTAAATTATCAACTTTTCTATATTATGCTAAAAGCAGACAAAAGGAAAAATTGTAACCTAAGTTAGCTCATTTCTACAATAATATTCACACATTTTCTTCATTTGTTTGTTTGGAAACAGGTACTCCTTCTGCAACCCAGCCTTGAGTTTGAGAAATGTACATTTGCAATCTTCCAAACTGCTGGGATTATAAACACAAGCCACCACATCCAGTGAATTAAAAAGCAATTTTTTTTTTTTTAAAGTCCTAGGGACTGAATTCACGGACTCAAACAAGAAAGGCAACACAGACTACATACAGCCCCACCCCAGTTTCAACTTTGTTTTGAGAAAAACAGGCTTTGAGATTATGACCACTGCAGCAGCTGGGATTACAAATTTGTTCCACCAGGTCTCACTGAAGGCTCAACAACGTAAGAGTCTTCAATCTTACTTTCCCCTAACGTAAAATTCACTTCTCAATCTTTTTGAGACTTCCTTACCACTAAAGTTCTAATTAAATAAAAATGCAAAAGAATCTTAAAATAATTCTTATCTAACATTTCACACATGAGTTTTCTAGAAATTATCCTGCTGCCATATTCTTCTTTACTCACTTTACTCCCAGTTTTCTAGATTAGACAATTTAAAAAGATCACTGTGGTTATCCAATCCAGAAAAGAAAAGGAAAAAAAAGTATATTCACTGCTGGGGAAAAGGATTTCTATTTTTGTTTCCACAGAAAATGAAAAGATGTGGATTCCTTCCAGACTAATGTGGTTTGATCACGACAGACCGCCTGAAACAGAGTACAAGCTGATCCTACATTCCAAACAGCTGAACAAAAAAAACAGCCCTACAGACTACAGCTAGGATATCTGAATCTTCTTCGAATCCCCCAAGACAGTGCCCCTTACCAGCAGGAAGTAGTTTGGAAAGAACGATGCCCAAATTCCAAACTATTGTGTATAAATGTTTGTTTTCATTTAATTGGACTTTGTTATATAAAATTAAATAAAAAATTATATATATATATATATAAAGAAGTATATTCACTGAGCAATTATCACTCATACAACAAATAATTCAAAATTTCCAGAAGATACGTCTAAAATAGGGCAAATTTTAACAAGAATAAAGTAAATAAATTCTTTGAAAAGATCTGGCACGTAGCAAAACTAATAAATGAAAAGCCAATGGTTTACCCTGGCAAGATAACCTAGGAAATAAAGTGATCTACACACTCAAATGGGTTGGTAATCCTATTATGTAAATAATCCTATTATGTAAATTTCCCCTAATTGTTTCATTAAAAGGAACTATCTATACAGTATGAGGAACGAAGACATAAGATGGAAATTTTGCATCGTAATGCATGTCTTCCTCAAACAAATCCAGTCTAGCTGGACTTTACAGTTTTCCATGTGACCCAGCCTCATACCTGGTTTCTGAGCGGTGCTGCAAACAAAATCTGCTTTCAGAGGCAAGCAGATATCTGACAAAGTGACTGATCCTTTGGATGGGACAAATTCACTCTGAGATATGATAGTACCCTTATTCTTCCTCTGAGGACCTTCATTCTTCAGCTTATTCAGCTCATCAATCAGAAGAGCTCTCTTCTCAGCTAAGTAAAAATATGCAAGCAAATATTCCAAATATTAACACAGCAACTGCTCCTAAGAGACAGATCATGAAAGTACACTGAAATGGTAACTGAAGAAAAGAAAAGACAAAATCAGTTACTGTCTCTTTGATGGAACTGTTTGGGTAAAATGTCATCTGGTAGTCTGTTACCAACTCCTTAAAATGTTTCAGCTTTTAATCAATTTTCTTTTGATATAATACTTTCCCAGCTCAACATTCTCCACTTTCACATTAGATGGAGACAGACAGGAATGTGCACACATATGTTCATTAGGACACTGTACTCAGGTGCATTACACATACTTGCAATCAGAAGAAGTCTTTCTGCTTCAGCTTCCTCCAGAGATCCTTTCCCGTGTTCTTCATCAACACAACAGTTCAGGGCCTGGCTGGCCTGATAGATCACTGTCTGCTGCAGATTTATGTCATTGTTGAGCTCCTAGTGAAACCACAGGAGGGATCAATTAATTAATTAATCACATTACCACTTTATTTAAACTTTAATTCTAATTAATGTGACTGCATAATTTTCAAATTTTTTAGAATGTAAAATCCAAATGTTAGCTTTACTGTGCATGTTTTTAGATAATATATTCTTTAAACTGTGGGTTAACTGTGAGCATCACAAAAACGAAACTGTAACAACAGTAAAAGATTCTGAATATAAACAATCAAATAAATTCAAGGACAAATGATGACTCTGGCAGCACTTATCCATGCACACCTCCAGTGTGGCCAAACTTCTCAAAACAGAGCGTATATCACATCATGTGACACCAATAAATACAATCTGTAATGTGACATTATGGTATTGGAGGAGGCACGGAGGCCTCTAGACTAAGTAAGAGAACCTGGAATGTTAAGCACATAGGGTTATCCCTCCAAAGGAAGGGATGAAAAGCCTCTATCTGCCCAGAAGGCTGGAGCAGACACTCTTTCTAGCCTAGGGACCTTTGTGCTATCTGTTGTGGCTAGAGACTTACCCATCATTAGGCCCTCCCTAGACCCTTATACAACAACAAAAGGCAAGTAACAGTTCTTTAATCTTAACACTCAGGAGGCTGGAACAGGCAGATCTCTGAGTTTGAGGCCAGCCTGGTCTATATAGCAAGCTCCAGGCCAGCTAAGGTTACATTAGAGACCCTGTCTCAAAATAACTATAGCATAATGGCTTAACTAATTAGAATAAACTTAATATTTTCCTACTACTGTTCCTTATTAATTAATAATAACTTTAAATTGTAGTGCATATTTGGTTTCAAAAATTGTTGTTGTGCTGGCTCGAGCTCTATGCTGTCATTCAGTGAAGACTGGGGAAATGGGGCAGTTCACAAAGTATCTGTGCCATAAGCATGGGGACTTAGGTCCCAATTCCCAGCACCCTTTTAGAAAGTGCCACCAAACAAACAAAATTTTTTTAGCATTAAACCCAGGGCTTCACACATGCTGGGCTTCACTATACCACAGAGCTACACACTCAACTCCAAAGTGATGATGTCATAGCAATGTGACCCAGCTTCCAATTTTCTAAATAGAGTGTATTCCTGAAGTTAAACTGAATTTAGGAGTAACTTACTTTCCACATTTTAGATCCCATTCCAGTTACTTGGAGTTGAGCCACAAACTCATAAACTAGTTCAAGAAAGTCTAAATTCCCTTCCCATGCCAGAGCATACCTGCATTTTTTGTTTGATATTAACTTGACAAGAAAAGACATTATTCTTTTCACCCAATTTTGAAGCAACATCTTCTTTTCGAACAATCACTTGCTTTATGGAGGGGCGCTCTGTCTCTTTGAATCTTTGAGACCTATATGCATCAATGCTTCAGGAAAAGAGTTACTGTTAGAAATCCACTGAACAATAGTATTTATCAAACATGCCAAAAGAAACCAAATCTCACACTTAAGCATCAGCATCATTTGGTGAAAGGAAAATTAATAGAAGTTATGGCAGACTGGGAGTGCCCATCAGTAGCAGACTTCCTGGCTAGCACACCTGAGGCCCTGAGTTCAATTCCCAGGTCACAGTTATCCCAAGTGTACATAGCTCTTCAAACCAGACCTAAATTGTAGCATTCTTCATGACAACCTAAGTCAGCAGAGTGGAAGGAAGAAGCTTATCCAAACACCTTACCTATAGAGAAGATCTCGATCCTCAGAACTAATGCTGTCACCAGACTCAGCTCGAGGAACACGGGTTCTCTGGAATTTTCCTGGTGTGGGACTTGCAGCACTTGGGCTAGTGTCTCCCAATCCCAATTTGGGTGAAGAAATTACATTCTACAGAAAAGTAAACAAGTAAATGAGATATTAAGGCTTTCACCTTTATTTGTTTGTTTGTTTGTTTTTTAAAGAGATGTGGTCTTCATTATGTAGTTCAGGCTAGTCTTCAACTCTTGATCTTCTTGCCACAACCTCCTGAACCTGGTGTTACAAAAATGTATCACCACATGCAGGATTTACACACCAGATATTATGGATGTACAACACTGATCCTATGTGATACTTGACTTAATTCTGAAAAATGTAATCTTTTCTACTATTAGGTTACATATCTAACACATAATAAAAGTAACAAAACAGACTAAACTTATACAAAGTAAATGGGTAAAGAACACACAAATAGCATATACATGAGATGCACTGAGAGCGGCAGTACTTCCTGCCAGTGCTGGTCCATAGAGAAGGTCCTGTTCTTCACAAAGCTAGAACAAACATCACAGGACCAAACTTCAAAAGCTGAACTAAGGGATGGAGAGAGGACTCAGAGGTTAAGAGCAATGGCTGCCTTTCTAGAGGACTAGTGTTCAATTCCCAGCACTCACATGGTAGCTCACAACCATCTCTAAAAAACAGTCTCAGAGTATCCATTTCTTGTGTGGCTTCTGCAGGCATTGCACATACATGAGGAAGACTCAGGCATGGCCTCATGCACTATATTCACCTGACTTGTAGTCAGCCAACCACCACTTACTCAAACAACACTTTTATAGGAAAAAACGCTTTTACAACAAACAGGGTACAGAAAATGCTTTTCAAAAGTTAATTGAATCCTAAAACACAGGCTTTACTACACGATTAAACATATTCATTTCTCATTGGCAAAAATATGCTAATTATAATAGTTCCTGTATTGACTGATGAAGATGTACCTGAGCTTGTTAGAAAGACTTAAAATTCATGGTCTAAAACTGCAACTCTCCTTACACCAACCTAACGATACAAGGACAGGTTATATTTTATTTTTTTGAGATCCTGTCTCAAAAGAACAAAAACAAAACAAATCAAGAAAAACTTTTAAATAATAGTACTTCTAACTGAGCTCATCTCCAGAGCTACAGTTACCAAATTTAGGGTGATGGCAATTAACAGAGGTTAGGCCTCTGAATGTTACTTGTATTTCCAGTCTAAATATAATTAAGACTTAAAGATTACATCAGCCCTAGGATGTAGGTACTGTTGCTAATCTTGTTTAACAGTTGAGAAAACCACAACAATTACAAAAACACTATGACCAGAATTTGAGTTTGAATGTCATACTTGTTAAAATATAGCAATATTTACCTGAGGTCATAGGAAATTATAGTAGAGTTTACTAGAGTTACTAAGAGGATTCTACCAGATTTACACAACCCCTCTATCCAGAGAGGGGAAATCATTTAGCAAAAGTGGAAGAGATATGCAGTACTTTCATTGTATTTTGCTATGAGCCTGTGTATATGTAGCCTTTCTTATCTTTACACTTACCACACCAACTGTCTGAGCTAACGGAGCAAGTAAAGACATAGAAGAGATATTCAGTGCATCTTCCTGATCTTCGATGTTTTCTCCTCCCACGTGCTCCATCTCCTCTTGGCTCTTTTCCACATCACCTTCCTCTAGGACATCACTAAAGATGTCATTGATGACTTTGGAGCTGTTGATATCATCATCATCCACATTCATCTCAATTTCACCTACCACTTCTGAAAAACATTTCAGTGGGGAGATACTAAGAACCAACATGGCACAGGAAGCTGAGTTTTCATGCTGATGAAAATAAACAGAGAGGCACCTTAAGAAAAATCCGTTCCTAACAGCAGAGAGAGGGGGAACAACTTCTAATACATACAAAATCAAGATAAAGCTGGACTCCCATATTTTAAACATTTAAAAAGTTCCAAAATACTTTCTAAGATATAAAGATTAGATTTACAAAAAACTAAACTTAATGCTTTGGATTTAAGTGAAGAGCATTAAGCAGGACACAAGATTCTGACTTTCAAAACATACGCAAGGGCTGCAGAGATGGCTTGGTGTTAATATTCTTCTAGAGAACCCAAGTTCAGTTCTTAGCACCCACAATGGGCAGCTCAAAATGACCTGTAGCTTACTTTTGGCCTCTGAAAGCACCTACAGTCATGTGAACACACCCCCACAAAGATACACACACATAATTTAAAAATAATAAATCAAAGGGTGATGGCGGCTCATGCTTTTAATCCAAGCACTCAGGAAGCAGAGGCAGAGGATCTTTGTGAGTTTAAGGCCAGCCTGGTCTACAGATCAAGTTTTAGGACAGCCAGGGCTACACAGAGAAACCCTGTCCTGGAAAAAAAATAACAGTAACCACTAACAGTACCACAGCTCGGTAGAAGCTACAGTATATCGTAAACTTGAAAAAAATAAGGTATTGCCAAGTGACAGGACATCTAAAAATAGAGCATTATCCTTATACTACTGTATTATTTCTTATAGTGGATCTAGAGCTAACAAGAAATGAACTGTAACCAACCAGTCTGCAGTTCAGCCTTCGGGTCTGAAGAGACTTTTAAGGACTTTTCCTCTTCTAAAAACAATGTTATTTTCAAAGGGCTGGACTTTGTCATTTTGCTTTCAGTGGAACCTAAAAATGTTTGAGGAAAACCAAATTAATGTGTGTGTGTGCATGTAAATTCTCGTGCCAGAAACAACCTGAAAATGTACAAATATAGAGTCATAAATCTTCATTAGCAAACCATGCCTGTACTTTTAAATATTCAAATCTATAAATAGAAGTTTCCTCTTAACTTCCTGTTTTCCTCTCCACCAAGAGGTAAAGGACAACAAATAATACAAGTTATTCTTTATTCAGACTGTTCCATAATCAATTTTTCACCTAAAAAATAAACAAAAAGTATCAACAAAAATCACTCAACTAGGTGCAGAAGGGAATTTCCTCAGACAACAGATGTAAAGACTAACATACTTGCTGACCAAAGACTGAGAGCTCCTCTAAGACTGGAAACATACTCTCCCTACTGGACTTAATACACGTTTTAAAGTCTTATCAAAAGCAACTAACTAAATAAAAAAGATATCAAAGGCATCCAAATCAGAACAGAATTACCATTATTTTTGCTCACAGATGGTACCATCTCATGTCAACACCTAAGTGTGGTGGCTCATACCTGAAATCCTAAACCTCATGGGGCTATAGCAGAATTGCAGCATATTCAAGGATAGCCAGGGCTAAAGAGCATAACAATGTGAAGTTTACCAACAATACATGCATACAAACATACATCTAATTCTCAAGTGCTAATTTCTCTGGCAGTCAGGAAGGCTGAGCACTCATCACCACTGTACACATAAATAAAGGGGTGGTGGTGCAGATACACCTGTGACCCTGCACTGGGAAAGTAGGGGCAGGAGGATCCAGAAGTTCAAGGGGACCCTGGATACAACTCGGACTAGGTGAGAAGGTAACAAAAAGAAAATACTTAGAATAAACCCAACTAAAGAGTCAAACAATTTGTGTCTTAAAAACAACAAAATGCTGCTAAAAGGAAGTAGAAACACAAACAGAGGGAAAGATTTTGTTAAACGCTTGGGACCAGAGATCTGTACACTCAATATGATCTCTATCAACATATTTTCCAGGAGCAGAAAAGCATCCTCAAATTTATACAGAATTTAAGGACCCCCTAAACATTCAAAACATCTCTGAAAGAGAACAAAAACAAACGATTCATATTTCCTGCTAGAACTTATTACATAGTCAGGTTCAGCTAGAGGGTACTTTCTCTGCCATGTGTAAGACCCTTGCTTTCAGCAACAGAGAAGAAAAGAAAATTACAAAGCTATAGCTATCAATCCAGAACAATACTGGCAGAGAAACAAATAAAGATCAACGGAGTACAATGGAGAGCCCAGAATAAATGTTTGCATCTATGATTAAGGATATTCAACAAGGGAACTAAGATGGTCACAATCAGCTCAGTAAATGATCCTAGGAAAACTGGGCATCCATATGCAAAGCACTGCATACTTAAAATTTAATGAAAAGATTAAAGATTCATATATAGCCATACTTTAAAAAATAGGTAAAGGAAATGGTTCATAATGTTGAATTTTTCAGTAATTTCTTATATTTAAAACAAACAGAAGAGGCAACAAAAGAAAATAGTCACATGAAACCACATCAAACTTAAAAACTTTTTTTTTAACTACCCGGTGATGGTGGCACAACCCTTTAGTCCCAGCACTTGGGAGGCATAAGCAGGTGGATCTCTGTGATTTCGAGACCAGCCTGGTCTACAAAAACTAATTTCAGGGAAATCCTGTCTGGAAACCTCCTACCCCCCCCCCCGAAACAAACAAACAAACAAACAAACAAACAAAACTTTTTTTTAAAATAACCAAATACATTCAACACAGTGACAGACTAAAAGGCAATCTATGAAACAAGTTAAGATCTTTATACATCATGTACATGATGAAGAGGTTATTATCTACAATGTATAGACAACCACCACATAAGACATCAGAAGGCTCAAAAGTGGAGGGAGCAGGGCTTGGAGTTAGCAGAGCTTGGGGGCGGTGTTGGTAGCAGCTGCAGCTCAGTCTGTAGTGAAGTGCCTGACACATGAGCATGAGGACCTGAGTTTAACACCAGGCCTCACATAAAAGTCAGGCATGACAGTGCTCACAGGGTTTCTCTGTGATCGTCCTGGAAATCGCTTTGTAGACCACGCTGGCCTCAAACTCACAGAGATCCACCTGCCTCTGCTTCCTAAGTGCTGGGGTTAAAGGTGGGTGCCACCACCACCTGGCTGTAGTGATCACTTTTAATCTAGCACCAGGGAACTGGAGATTGGCAGATCCCCGGGCTTATAGATCAGCCAGTCTAATGTAATCAGGTAAGAGATTTGGTTTCAAAAAAGGTAGACAGTCCCCAAGGGAAAATGCCCCAAATCCATGTACACACATGCACACAGGTATTCACACATTGGAACAGGCACGGTGGTACATGCTTATAATCCTAGTGGGGTGGGGGTGGGGGGTTTGGGGAGGCAGTGGCAGAAGAATCAGAAATTTGAAGTAGATTCCAGGCCGTTTTAGCCTACCTAGCAAGGTCCTGACTTTTTCCCCCCAGAAAAACAAAACAAAACAGGTGTATGTGTGGGATGGGTGGATACTAAACTGATTTTCTCAAAGAAATACAAACAACCATACAGAATATGAAAAATGTCCATCATCACTATTAAGAAACACAAATAACAAAATGAGATTTCACCTTATACTTATTAAGATGGCTACTACCCAAAACAAAAACATTATTAAGAAACACTCAAAGCAAAAAATAACAATGCTGTTTAAAAAGCAGAAAAATTAGAATTTTGTGCACTGTTGGTAAGAACATAAAATAGTGCAACTGCTATGCAACATGATGCAGTCATTCCATGTCGGAGCACTTCTCTTAAGACTGCGATCGGGACATACGCAACTGGGCACAGCAGCAGAAGGGGAGAACACTCTCCATGTGTACACACAGAGAATGGATAAACTATGTACACACCACAGGACAGTGTCCAGCCTTGACACATACACTACAGTGGCCCTCCTTCACCCATGATCTCACTTTCCAGTTCCAGTTATCTGTTGTCAACCAGAAATAGGAAATCCAGAAAAACACACCAAGCTGTAACAATTCTGCTCCCGTGTGAAAACACTGTAGGACAAATAGGAAGAAATCTGAGTTCTTAGGGAGCTCGGGTGCTAGTCAAATTTAATATTCACCTACAGAATCCTGGACTGCACCCCTAAGGATAAAAGGGACTACTGTGTGTTTCTTTTCATGAGATATTTAAAGAAGACAAATTTACAGCAACAGTACAAAACGGGACAATAAAGGAACGAGGAGAGTTTTTGTTTAACAACTACAGTTCCATTTTTGCAAGCTGACGAAGGAAGGAAGGAAATAAAAATGTGAAAGTGTTTGTGATAAAGCAGGTGTGATGACTCAGACCTATAATTCTAACACTCAGTACACTGAGACAGAAAGATTAAAAATTCTAGACTAGACTGAATAACAAAGTAAGATCCTACCTCTAAAAAGAAAGAAGGGTGGGGAAAGGGTTGGGGGAAGGGTAAGGGAAGGAAGGGGAGAAAAAGGGAGGGTTCTGCTCCTCAGCTTTGGCCACTATGCCTTCTTTGCCATGAGGACTGTATTTCTCCAGAGTTGTAAGTCAGAACAAAGCCTTTCTCTCTTTCGGGTGGGGACAACACACAGCCTGGTCAGAAATGAAGCTGGTTGAAGAAGAAAACAGCTCTGCCTGCACACAGCACAGCAGCATCTGTCCCTTGAGCCATTTCCAGCCATCTGCAGCAGCACATGGCTACAGCTGAGCAGCATGGGACACTAACCTGAGGGTTCTGCACTAGAAATCTTCACTGCAGTGTCATTTTCAGTCTCTTTATCTGTTTCAGAAGTCGATGGGGTGTTTGAAACAATTTGATGTTTCTTGAGGGGAGTATTCTGACAGTTAGTTTCCTACAAAAAAAAAAAAACAATTATTTCTCATGATTATCTTAACTAGTTTATTAAATGAAATAAGACTATTATTAAATAATATTCTGGTTTTTTTTTTTTTTTTTTTAGAATAAAAGAAATATACTATTAGAAGGGTCCAGGCCAGTGTTAATAATTTTCAGTGTGTAAGATCCCCATTGTGCAAAATATTTAAAAGAGTAGGAATCAAGAAAGAATAAAAATTCATATCAGAGTTCAGTTTTACACAAACCAACTAAAGTGAAAGCGACACAAAACAATTTCCCATCATTTATTTTTCTTTGCCCATTCCTATGCACTTTCAAGACAATTCTGACATGAAGATTCTATTTAACTATCAGATACTCAAAGTACAAAATTAAAAAACAAAGCAAGAAGGATAAAACAGACCCAATAATAAGGAGGAAAATAAGGAAAAATATGCATTGTTTTACATGTTTAAAGGTGTATAGGCCTAGTTACCACATAGACCACTGCCAACTTGTAGTGTTCTCAATAAACTGTTCTCACCCTGCAGTGGAGGCACACTTTATGATGGCCAGGCATGGAAGCACAACTCTATAATCCAGCACTCTGGAGGCAGATGCAAAAAAAGCACTGCAAGTTTGAGACCAGCCTATACAGTGAGTTCTAGAGCATGCTGTATTACACAGCAAGATCCTGGCTCAAAGGCCAAAGAGCACATTTTATGATTACAGAGATACTGGAAACCAACAAGGTAAGGTAAAGCAGCTAACACACACAAACACGCACACACACACGCACGCACGCACATGCACGCACGCACGCACACAGGGAGAGAGGACACAGCCTGTCACTTATTAAGCATTTCAATGCCTCAGGTGACCCTCCAACAGGCACAGGGGAGCTAAGGCACTACACACATGGTTACTGAATGGCACCCCTCATCTAGCTCCAGGTTGGACTTTTTTTCAAATGAGAATGTTCTAAAATATAAAACATAGAGTAAACTCTTAAATGCTGTATACAGGTTATTTCAAAGGTAGGCAAGAACTTTGAGGAAGAAAAGTTGAGGTACATTGCAGAAAACAGAAAAATGAGTTTCAAAGTAATCGTTGAGAGAAAAAAACATCTGTGCTAGGATATCCTGGCATCTCACATATCTGCTAAGTGAGTAAATGACTGACAAAAATGGAAAAGTGTCCTCCTTCTGAAAGCACTGAAAAAAAGACAACAGAACAAAGCACTGCTCCCTGCTGCCTCCTCCGGCTGTGGTCAGCACCCACAAATACACACTGTATATGAAAGGAAGGCTCCGGGGCCCTGACTTCATGCTTACCGGCTAGGAAAGACAAATGACATTAATAATTTACATTGTTATTAGAAAGATATTTTATAAGTGTCCACCAGAGCCCTGCCACACTGTAGACACTCATCTTCTAATTAATGACCTATTATCCCTGTTTTCTCCTCCCCACTAAGTCTTATCTGAGGATTGCTATTGCACAGTAAACAAATACCCTCCACTTTTTAGCCCCAAAACAAACCCAGCTATCTACAAATATAGAAACTAATCCATAAACATCTAAAATAGATTTCTCACCTGAGCTGAGACAACATGAAAACAGCACCTCTTTGGTGTCTTATTCATCCTCTTTTAAAGGTCTTACTCCAAGACTTGGCCACCAAGATTTTGTGCACTCCATGACCACGGGCCCTACCAGCAACAACTGGAGCGTCTTAGCACCAGTACCAGAGAGTCTTCTCTGAACTCCCAAGCGTTTCTCTAGTTCAAGACTTGCATCCAAGGTGGCACTAAGGCTATCCAAGCAACACCTTGGTCTCTCAGCTGCAGGAACACAACTCCAAAACCCTTCACTATCACTCCAACTTGGCCTCCTCTGGAACTGGTTTGTGCTTCTCCATATACGTCATCCTAACTGCCTCCAATGTTCCCAACTCTCTCTCTCATTCTTGCCTCTTGGAGACCTCTGGACATCTGATACTTCTTCATTGATTTTACCTATTTTCTTACTCCTCCCTCCAGAGTGGACCTCAGAACTAACTCTTCATGGCAACTACTTCCCCACCAATGACTTCAATGTGTTCATTTCACCAAACATCCAGACCTTTTGTTTGGGAAAACCCTAACCCAAGGACTAACCAAGATTGTCCAAATCAACACCTAGACTCTTTGGCTATACCTGTGCAATCTGGTTATAGTACACATGCATCATGTTTGGCCTGTGGAGTTTGATTGAGCAATGTTTCCCACAGGCTCATGCATTTTCACACATGGCTCCCTAGGTGGAGGTGCTACTTGGAGAGGTTTTAGAGTCTTTAGGATGTGGAGCCTTGCCGGAAGAAATATGTTACTGGGAATAGGTTTTTGATGGTTAGAGCCTTACTCTACTTGCTGTTCTGTTTCTTGTTTGTGGGTAGCCAGCTCCTGCTCCCCACTTCCTTCACTGTTGCCATGATTTCCCACTACAATCAACTCTATTCTCTGGAATCCTATGTCAAAACAAACCCTTTCTTCCCTAAGTTGCTTTCTGTCATGGTGTTTTATCACAGCAACAGAAAAGTAACTGACACATGGCCACTGGAATCTCAGCTCTACCATCTTGATCCCTTCTGATTCTGAGTTAGCCTCCTCTTCCTTCATGTGTTAGTCAAAGGCACAGAAGTGAGCACTCTCCTCTGAAGTGAGCCACTAACAGATAGACACTCAGATCCTGCCAGCAGGGCTGCAGATATCAGGATCCCCAGTTTCCACCTTGCTTTTCTCACAAACAGTTCCCTCCCTTCATCCTACAACTATCAGCTCCTTTTCCTTCACCTTGACTTCTTATTAGCTAACTCCTTTCCACCAATGCTAAAACATTCTTAAATCACAGAAAAAAACAAAAACCCAATTCAAACACTTTGCTTTTTCACACCTTCCAGGCACCTCCTTTCTCCCTCCCTTTCAGACAAAACTCCCAGCACCTGCCTATGCTGGCTCTGCGCTCTTCACCCTGCCACCCCTCCTCATCCCTGCACTCTTCACAGCAGACTTCATACTTGAAACCAGAGCGTGCACAAACACTACTTAGACAAACCTCAGCAGACTCATTTTAACCCACAGTGGACAAAACCATCCCTTCCTTTTCAAAACCGTTTGTCTCCCTGAACTTTAATGACACTCGCATTTTACACCTGTTTTTGGCTACTCCTTTTGTGGTAAATAAATGGGTTTCTGCGGAAGAAAATCTATGAACTCTCTGTTAGTATCATGTTCATAAGTTTGGTCGCATGCATAAGTAACTGCTATCTCACAAGTTTCCAAGGAATTGTTTAGTACAAAATAAAGACTTTTGTCTCCAGGGATACAGGAGGAAACCATAAGAATCTGGCACTGTGGTAGCCAAATGATGATGGTCTTCAAACAGAAAAATCATTGGCAGTGCCAAATGCTGCTAAGAAGTCTAGTTAAATGTCTGAAATTGATCAATGAAAATCATGGAAGAACTTGAGAAGAAAAGGAGAGGGAAGAGAAAAGAAAAAGGGGACAAGAAAAAGAAATAGCTCTATGGTAGTGACTATCACACTGGCTGACAGGTAGATAAATTGGCAATAGATTTAGAAAATATTAAATGGATGCAGGTATCCAAGTGTGACTGTGTTTGTGTAAGGAGGCACTTATTGAAGACTAATTAGAATAAAGAAACAATTAGGAGGCATACGGAAACTGAAAGGGTTGCAAACACTAAAAACATCATATGTGGGTATGCTGGGTAGTTTTTTGTCAACATGATACAAGTCAGAGTCATCTTGGAAGACTGACAACAAGCAAATCTGTGAGGCATTTTCTTGATTAATAATGGATGTTAAAGTGTCTACCTCATTATGGATGGGACCATCCCTGGGCAGGTGGGCCTGAGTTATATAAAAAAATCAGGCCGTGCAAGCCAGTAAGTAGCCTTCCTCCATATTCTCTGCTTTAGTTCCTGCTTCCAATTTCTGCACAGAATTTCCTTCATAATAGACTAGAAAATGTAAACTCAAATAAATCCTTTCCTCTCCAGGTTGTTTTGGTCAGGGCTTTATCACAATAGAGAAGAAAACTAGAACAGTAGAAAAGTCACCAATGAGAAATGTAGATTCTAAGAAGTACTTTAAAAGCAGCATCTAAGCAGAGCAATAAGAATCTGAAAGTGGTAAGAACTGACTGTAAGGTCATCAGCGAGAAGGCTGTAGAGAGGATGGAAACTGAAAATACCACAAGAAAAGAAAGAGTTGTGAGACTTAAGCACTGGAGAATGGAAAGGAAGATGTTTAAGAATTATTTTACCAAGCTGGGCATGGTGACTCACATCTGTCACCATGCCAGAACTTGGGAGGCCGAGACAAGAGGGTTACATAAGAGTATGCAGTAGTCTAGGCTAGACCAACCACCCTTTCAAAACCAAAAAATTACAAAATACTACTACTTTAGAACATTAGTGACATACTTGTTCATATTACCTGGTGGGCTTCTAGCTGTTTGCTTCTTAACTTTTCATCCTTTTCTGCACTCCATAAATTGCCCTTGTCAAATCGACCACGAAGACAGGCTAGTTCTTTTTCACGTTCCTAAACCCATTAAATAAAGCAGTATTTTACACAAGAATCAACAGCATATAAGAATATCCAAATGCTAGCAAATATTTCTTAAAAGCTAGGTATGGTCCCAGCACTTGGGAGGTGGAGGCAGTAGGGGCAGTTCAAAAATATCTTCAGCTACAGAGCTAGACTGAGATCAGCTTGAAATTCATAAGGCCTTAGCAAAAGAAGGATTAAAAAATACCTTTTCTTGCCAGGTGGTGGCGATGCGCACCTTTAAATCACAGTACCTGGGAGGCAGAAGCAAGTGGATCTCAGGCTGGTTTACAGAACAAGTTCCAGGACAGTCAGGGCTACAAAAAGAAACCCTGTCTCAAAAAGCAAACAAACAAAAAACTTCTTGTGTTCAGTTATAAAATATAAAGATTCATAATACATGTGGAATATGATATATTATTTCATTGTCCAATTTGCAGTAAGAGGTACAGAGAATAGTAAGAGGTACAGAGAAGCAAAGTGCTATTGATCAAATCCTGTATTAGTAATCAAGCCTGAATTCCTAGCACATGGGAAGCCGAGGTAGAAGAACTGCTGAGAAAGAACATGGGGAAGCCTGGGCTGCTTAGTGAGTTCCAAGGAAGCCTACGCTAGAGAATGAGATATGTCTTGTAACTAAAACATGTCCTCAAAAAGAGTCTCTTTAACTCAGGTAAAGAGACTTTGGAAAGATGGCTCAGTGGGTAAAAGCACTGGCTGCTTTTGCAGAGGACCCATGTTTAGTTTCAAGAATCCAAAGGAGGCTTTCAACTATCTGTAATTCCAGTTCTGGGGGATCTGATGCCCTCTTCTGGCCTCTGCAGTCACTACATGGAAAACACCCTCAACACTAAATAAATACATTTTTTTTAAAGTCTCATATTTATCTTAGGTTTCATGCTGAGGTCATGTAGCACTAAAAGATGCAGAAAACCTTACCTGTTTGAGCTGCTGTGCTAAATGGGAAGTAGATGAACATGTGTTTTGCTTGAATAATCTTTCCTGGATGGCCTTTGTATTTGGGGTGATATTAGGGGTCTTATTTGATGCTCTAAAAGCTGGACTTTCTTTGCTGTGTTCTTGACAGCGCTCTCCAAAGCGTTCCAGAAAAGGCTTAATTCCTCTTCCTCCTATAAAAACACAGTTTTGGAATCTATTCAAAATACCTAACAATTATTTCCAAAGGGGGGAAAAAAATCTAAAATCCATTAGTTATAATCATTCACAAAAAAGAAATTAAAATTGTTCAAAGCATCTATTAAAAACATGCTCTAAATTTTATTTTTATTATTTTAAATTTTCTGTATGTCTGTGTCTGGGGGGGGGCATTACTACAGGTATCAACATAGGCCAGGTGTCAATTCCCCTGGAGCTGGAGCTGCCTGACATGGATGCTGAGAATAGGACTCGGGTCCTTTGAAAGGGCAATACATATCTTCTTAACTGATGAGCCATCTCTTCAGCCCTTATGTCCTAAATCTTAAGTATTTAGGAAACAAGAAAAAAAAAAGCTAGTCTGTGGGGCTGGAGAGATGGCTCAACGGTAAAGAGCACTTGTTGCAGAGGAGCTGGGTTCAGTTCATAGCACCTACATAGTGGCTCACAACCATCCATAATTCCATCTCCTGGGGACCTGAACCATTTACTTTGTTGGGCATCAAGCACACGATTTAGGCAAAATAATATACACATAGCAGAAAACAAATAAATCTTTTAAAAATAAACTATTTAAAAAATTATTTTAAAAGAATCAAGCCAGGTGGAGGTAGTGCGCACCTTTAATCCCAGTACTCAGGGAGCAGAGGCAGATGGATTAGTGCGTGAGTCTGAGGCCAGCCAGGACTGTTACACAGAAAAACCTTGTCTCAAAAAACCAAAAAACCAACCAAACAAAAACAGTGTGATTTTAAAGGATATTGAAATTATTTCTTTTTTCCTGGTTCGGTGGTCACTGTTGTCATCATATGACCTGCAGCCTGCAGGAGTGCTATAGATTAAACCCAGAGCCTGTGAATGCTTGGCAAGTGTTTTACCACTGAGCCCCAACTCTTGTTTCCAATTCTCATTGTAGTACATCTAGAAATTGGCTGTGGCTTTCTGCTTACTCTACTATAAGAAATATAAAACTTTATATATGCAAAGTATATAATATACAAATATAACAGAAATGCAATGCTTTATATGCACATTAGCTTCTCTCTACTGTTGGGGGTGAAGCAGAATCAAGAAGCCCCTAGGAGCTCAAGGGCCTCCCAGTGTAGCCAAGGTAAGATCAGAGTAAAGACTTAGTCATAAGACTGGTTCTCCACTATTTCCCTAAAATGTAGGTTCAAATTGTATGTGTTTTACTATATCAAAAACCAGGGGGGGGGGGGAAGGTAACATAACAGATTAAATCCTTTTACCAGCAAAGGGCTAGTGTTCACTAATGAATATGCTTTCAATCAGAGCACAATAAGAAAGCTGGGCCTGGGGGAAACAAATCTTTTTTCAATTCAGCAGTTGGGAAGATAGAGATCAATATGTCAGTCAAGGTCATCCTTGATGCACAGCAACTCCAGACCCAGCTGGAGTACATGAGATACTATCTCAAAAAGAAAATGAGGAAAGAAGGGGAAAAGGGAGGAAGGGAAGAAGGAGGGATAGAGAGAGGAATAAAGAAGAAAGAGCTCATCTAGCACTCTACAGTTCACAAGAGGAATTTAATGCTAGGAATCAGGCATGATGATAGAAGTCTAATCTCAGACCCTGGAGACTATGGGTTTCTCAACAAGGAGACCAGCCTGGGCTACTGTAAGTTCCAGGCTAGCCTGAGATACATAGAACTCAAAACTGAAAAACAATAAATGAACATTAAATAAAATGTTGAAAATGAGCATATGTAACCTGGTGTTGCAGGCTTGTCTCTGGGTTGGGACTGCAGACAAACTTCCCTGTTTGCTTCCTCTTTGGACTGAAGTGTCTGGGGTAAAGCTGGTTTCTCCCTTGGCTTCAATGCCTCTGTTTTCAGAGGACTAACACTGTTCTTAGTACTAGGGATGAGTGTAGCAGATTTCACCGGGGAAGATGTCGCTTTCTGAAACATGACAACACATAGGGTAAACAATTCCCATCACAGTGTAGATGCCACAAAACAGTTCAAATTTCACTTTCTTGGTAGCCATTATACAAAACTTAACAAAAACATTGTTCTTTTGCTCTTTAATATATCATAACATGAATTTTTTTATCAACTTATAAAATGCTGTTATTTAAACTATAGGACATTTAGTCTCACAATATATTGACATTTAAGTAGTTATCAGGGGTAGGGTCACTCCCAGTTTTATAAAAAACAAACTCTCAAAATTATTGTGCTAGTACTTTTATTAAACTTTTAAATTATGTTATATCAAATTATTTGATATGTATTTTTAACTAAATATCAATTCAGTAAGACATGAATTGAGTATTCCTGACTCAAAGTACTTGGTGTACTTGGTTATCAGATTTGGGATTTCTTTTAAAATACTTACAATGAAGAATTAGGGATGGGATCCAAGCTTAAACACATAATTTAATTCTGATATGTATGTATATTTTTTTCTTATATATTATATATATATATATATCTTAGACACTGCCTGGAAGCAATTTTATATTATCTTAAAAAAAGTAATTTCAGCCTGGCAGTGGCAGCACACGCTTTTAATCCCAGCACTGAGGAGGCAGAGGCAAGTAGATCTCTGAATTAAGGCAGCCAGCCTGGTCTACAGTGTGAGTTCTAGGACACTCAGGGCTACTCGGGGAAACGCTGTCTCAAAAAGCCAGAAAAGAAAATAAAACTTTTTCCAGAAGGGTGGGAATATAGCTCAGTGACACGGTATTTGTTCAACATGCAGAAAGCCTTGAGTTCAATTCCCAGTACCACAAATAATAAAATGCATGAAACGATTTCTCGTGGAACTTTCTACTTGTAGCATCTCAAGTGAGCACTCAGAAGGCTTTGTTCATTATTTCTTAATCATTTCCGATTTTGAATTTTTGATATTAGGAATGTCCAAATACCACAAGTATTACAGACCCTTATTAAACCGTGATAGAAAGTTTATTATAAAATAACGTCATTCACCCAGGAACAATGCTAAGTATTTTATGCATATTAGCTTATCTTTCTAATAACCCTGCTCCCAGATTTTATATGAGGAAAAAAAAGCTTCACTTAAGTAGTTTGTACAAAGTCACATTTCTCACTGTTTCAGAGCTGGGATTGAAGGTAGGTCTAAACCCAAAACCTCTGTCTACACTGATAGGCCATCATCAGCAATACTTCAACATTCTTTTTCCTTTTTTTAAACTACTGAAGTAACATTACATTCATAAAGTAAAGTTTCAAACACTTCAAAAAGTTACAGAAAAAGTGTTACTGCTGACACTGTCAATGTTCCTTCCATGGAGGCAATGACAAATATGGGTTTACATTCTTGCTATCTTATATTTATATATACTTATAAAGGTGTTATAATTGAGGGATTAATTTTAGTTTTCCTCCAAATGACAAAACAAACAAAACAAAAAAAACCAAACAAACAAAAAACAAAACAAAACAAAAAAGCCCCATCACATTCCATTATTATATATTTTAGATTTTTAAAATTTAATTAACTTTAATATAATTTCAGTCATGTTAATTTTAATGTTAATTTATCTTAGATAATTACCAAATTTCTATTTTTCACTTTTTATAAAACATTCTAAAAACACATAAATATGCTGCACATATACTACAGAATACATAGCTACATTACCATTTATAACAAAAGTTTCAAAAGACCCAAATGCTCACCACAGAGCTGGACGCTGAGGATTTAAGCGATGACCCTTCACTTGAAGATGGGGCTTTACTGACAGAGGCCTTGCCATCCCTTTGGGAACAGCATGTAGCTTCCTGTTCAACACTGCTACTATTGATGCTAGCAGATGCTCCACTTGCAGAGGAAGATTTGGATAAACAAGTGGTACCAGGCTGTTCTTGTACACTATTTTGCTTTGCAGATGAGTAGCTTACATCATCTTCCCAGGAGCAAATCGTTGCAGCAAGGTTGGCCAGACGGCCCCTTCTTCCAACTGGGGTAGCTGAGGCATTTGACAGGGGTGGCTTGGTAGGTGAAGCAACCTTTTCCTCAGATGGCATTGGTGTGAAGTGTGAACTTTCTGATACATCATCTGAAACTATTTTCAGAAAAAAAAATCAAGTCATAGTCAATAGTTATTCTTATGTATAATCATATGACCACTTCATAGAGAATTTTAAAATGAGATTGATTGCATTCATGAAATATTACATTACTTAAATGATATTTAATCCAAACTGAAACACTCTTAACATGTACTTTACACAGGATTTTTTTTATTTTTTATTTTGGATAGATTACAGATGCTGTAAGATGCTATTCTAGGGCTGGTGCTGCAGTGATAGCTTAGTGGATAAAGGGCCTGTAACTCAAGCATGGGAATCTGATTGTGAATCCTAACAACCTATTTCAAGCTGGACACAACAGTGAGAACACGTGTGCTGGGGCACACATATGTACCATACACAAAAAATTAAATTTTTACGATTTAACTGTACTATTGTATATTTCACAGTTAATTCATGGAGTCATAATACTGAACAATTTAAGAGTGCATCCTAAAGAAACCTTTTATTCTAAAGAATGAACTGGACCAATGACACAACACAAAGCTCTAGGATAACAGAGGAGCCTACACCTACACACCCAATATAGCAAGCACTCAGCACATGTGGTTAGACCACTGAAATGTGGCCAGGGGAAATGAGAAATGGAACCATAAACAAAACAGTTACGTATGTTAAGTGGCTATTTGGATAATATTTGTATTTCATTTGGAGACAAATCTCAGTAATAGTTGATGAAGGATCTAGGCCTGTATATTCAAAAAGCATGTATATAATAAGGGAACCAAGGTTTGGGCACATCATGCTCTACACATACAATCAAGAGAAGAGACCACTTCTCCTTACCCACTTCTGTCAAAGCTTCTAACCCGGCCTGAAATTTTAATTCTACTTTTCTAAAACCTCAGGAATCTTGCTCCAAAACATTCTTCCTCCCTACAAACTCTTTTCAGCACATTAATACTTGCTGAAATAAGTTCATTCTACTTGAAAAATAAGGGCTGATAAATGCTCCGTGGGAATAGATCAACAGTTCTCAAGATGTGGATCTCGACCCCTCTGGGGGTTGAAAGAACCTTTCACCTAAGACCATCAGCATATCAGATATTTACCTTATGATTCCTGACAGTAACAAAATTATAGTTATGAAGAAGCAACAAAAATAATATTCTGGTTGGGGGTCACCACAACATGAGGCACTGTATTAAAGAGCTGCAGCACTTGGAGGGCTGAGAATCACTGTGAGATGCTTGCTGCCAAGCCTGACAATACGAGTTCCATTCCCCAGACCTACATGGTGGCAGCAGAGAACAGAACCCAGCAAGTTGCCCTCTAAACTCCACATGAATGTTAGACACACACACTTAAAAATAATAAAAAGGAAACCTTTAAAATAAATAAAAATTAAAAAGGGATGGGCTGGACAGGGGTGGCACAGTACTTAAGCAGAGGCAGGTGGATCTCTATGAGTTTGAGGCCAGTTTGGTCTACAGAGTTAGTTCCAGGACAGGCAAAGCTATACAGGGAAATCCTGTCTCAAAAAACAAAACAAAACAAAACAAAACAAAACAAAACAAAAAAGGGGGGATAGGCAAAAAATGTCAAACTTTCAGTTGTCCAATACTAATCAAAATTTCAGTTAAAATGCATAGTAATGAGGGGCTGGAAAAATGGCTCAATGGTTAAGCGTACTTACTATGCAATTATAAGGACTGTTATTCAGAATCTAGCACTATAAAACAAGCTGGGCAATTTGCAAACCCTGAAACTCCAGTTCTTTCTCTCCTCCACACAGGCACAGATACGCAGCTGCACGAACATATATACTCAAGGAGATTCATATATGCAAACAAACATACACATACTAAAATAAATGTTCTTTTAAATTTTTGGTGCAGGGGCTGCAGGTTTTATAATCTAGAGACAAAAGTACACCTTGGGTTCCCCATAATTCCGAGATGCAAATCCAAAATTTTTTCTATCTACATTTTCTCTGGACCTTGGTTTCTTTTAAAGTACAATATGGGTATTTCAGGAAGCCATTTCAAGGATTTTACCTAACAAGCCAGGAGATCAATAAAGTTAGTCATGACAAAAATAACACTTGTACATAACCACTGACTTGCCTGCATTTAGGTTCAATTACTTGTCTGTTTCCAGAATTATAGCATAAGAATACGCTTTCAAGCTGGAGGTGGGGATATTTTGTTTTGACATCTTTTTTTCCCCTATCAAACAGAACCTCACACCTTAGCGATAGGCGACTGAAGAAATAGGATTTCCTAAATATACAGCTGAGGGTCAATACTTTTTTTCCCTGTAAACAGGAAGTAATCCATTATTAGGTGGTTTCTGTGCTAGTTCAAGAACCTCAATACCTGCTCCAGTGAAAACTGCTCTTATGGATATACCCCTGGTATACAAATCATCTACAAGCAAAGAATGTATACACATATATATACATACATATATTAAAAACACCTTTCATGCCACCCCAGGTTGGCCTCAAATTTATAATCCTCTTAGATCAGCCTCCCAGGTGCTGGGATTACAAACATGTACCACCACATCCAGCTCCAGGCTAAATCTTACCAAAAGAAATTCAGGGACCACCCCACCCATATCATTTAATACCTGCTGTATCACTATCCCAATGGCGCCGTTGCTCAGCAAGCTTTTGCATTCGTGTTTTAACTGAGGAGGCAGCAGATGCTTCTGCTCTTGAGCTCAGTCCTCTGCCCATGCTGAGCAGTGATGGTGAGGCAGCCGCAGAATCACTGATGGCAGACAGTGCTCGGGGCGGTGCCTGAGGGGGTGCAGGCCTTGGAGAACAAGGTTGTGCAGCAGTTGACTCAACAGGTTCTTTATTTTCTAAGTCCAAAACTTCGACTTCAGTTTTGTCAGAACATTGTTTTTTTGATGGTGATGGTTTTGTACAGGATTTCTCTAGATCCAAAACAACAACAAAAATCTACATGGAAACTTTGCAGTTTCACAGCCTGAAAGACTAGAGGTCAGTGCATAACAATAAGGGATCACATTTCTCTAATACTTTCACTACTTTTGTAAAAAATGTAAAAACCCTGTCTTCAATTAATTTCAAAATAAGGTAAAAACCTTTGTTTAGGCGAACATGTCATTTTTCTGTGAAAAATCTCTATGAAAATAAATTTAAGTATTTTCAAGATGTATACATAAGATTTAATGTAGTTTTAACACAACAGGAAATAAATAGCACACACACAAGAACAACCAACTAATCTAGAGATTTAGCTCAATCACCTTATTTTAAGGAACAAAAAAATCAAGCCTGGAGAAATTAAGTTGTAGAAAGTGGGTTTTCCATTGTTTTTTTTTAAACAACATTTCATGGACAATAACTAAAGCAGAGTAGAAGAGCACCTCAATTGAGGTTTGGAGGAGGAGAGAACTGAAGGCAACTGAACTCTCTGTTCTATACCAACAAAACCAGTACAAATATTTAGCATCTCATAATTTAAACTTCTATGAATATGTAAAGTAAGAGAAAATCTTAAAGGCATCATTCAAAATAAGGCATTTCACTTCTACCCAAGAACTGGTCTCACCATACCTCTTGAAATGAGTGTGTGTAGGTGGTATGTGTATGTGTGCTCTTCCATGTGGCACAGATATGTGCAGGTGAAGTCAGAGGTTGACATGAGTGTCTTCCTCCATGCACTCCACCTCAAGAGAGGATTTCTCTCTTGAACTCAGAGCTCATCAACTGGGCTAGTCTAGATCTCCAGCTTGCTGTGACAACCCTGTCCCACCTTCTGTGTCCTTGCCATGCCCCAGAATTTACATGGGTGCTAGAAATTCAAAGTCCATCCTTAGAATTGAGTTATCAATTATTTTATCCACTGAACTATCTCCTCAAGCCAGAACATTAACATTTTAAACAAGAATGAAAAGCCAGTGAGATGGTTCAGTGGGTAAACATGCTTGCTGCACATTCCTGGTAACCCGAGTTTGCTCCCCAGAACCCACAAGAGAGAAAACCAAGTCTATGGAGTTGGCCCCCACACACAATATATTATTTTAAACAAACAAAAAACTGGGAGATGCCCACTGGAAAGATGACTAAGTGGCTAAGATTACTCTGCTCTTCCTTCCATAGGACTCAAAACCCACATGGGAGCTAACAATACCAGCTCCAGAGGGTTCAGTGTCCTCTTCTGGCCTCTACAGGCACTGCATACATGTGCTGCACAGACATGTGCAGGTAAAACGTTCATACACATAAACTAAAGACATGTATATAATCTAAAGTTTTAAATTTTTTAAAGTTAAGAACATGAATTCCATAGATAGACAGCTTCCCCGGCTTTCTAAGAGATTTCTCTGTTCTGTCTTCTGGTAGATCTAGGACCTGATCTAGCCCTAGAAGATACAGAAGGCTGCTCTTGCCCCAGAGGCTGCTATATTTGTCTCCCAAAGACCAGTTGTTTTATATGCATAATAAAATGTTTGGGGCTATGTCCTCCAAAATCCATGTTATTTTTCCTTTCCCATGATCTTTTACCTTCCCCTCCTGATAGGGGCTGCTGATTACTTGCTTCTGAAAGTGGCTCTCTGCCTCGTTTGGCATGTAGCGCAGACCTTGCTGCTGCTGTGGGCCTCTCAGCCATTTTTCTCTGAAGATTCTCTCGTCTGGCACGGGTTCGTTCAAGCAACTTCTGTATTATACCAATGTTAAAACACAAGGTTAGCCAAAGGTTAACAAAACCTTAGATGCCTTCTAAAACCAACAACTGTTATATAGGTAATAGTCAAACACTTAAGAAACCGAACCAAGCACCCCAGTATCAAGACTACCAGATTCATATAAACATTCATAAGCAGTATGTGAAGATAACTACATACAATTTTAAATGCTGCAAGTTTTTAAGCAAAAGGTATAATCTGGGACTGGGATGATAGCTTAATGGATAAAGTGCCTGCCATGCAAGCATAAGTACCTAAATTTGGATCCCCAGTGCCCACATAAAGCTAAGCATGGCACCACACATCAGTAACCTTGCAGGGGCAAGAGGGTTCCTGAAACTCAGTCTAGCTAATCAGTGAGTCAGGTTGGGTGAAAAGTCCTATCTCAAACATAAGGTAGAGGTAAGACTAAGGAAGAAGCATGTCCGAATCTTGACTCCATGTGCACACACATGTACATCTGCTCACATCCATGCAAGCAGACACAAAGGAAATCTGCATCACCATTCTTGAACCTCTGGGCTGGCTGGCCAGGCCTATGATTTGCTTTGACTAATAAAATACGGCAGAAGTAACACACTATGCAATTTTCAATGCTTAGCCCCAAAAAGTCTGCACTCTCTTTCTTGGACTGGCACTAGGCCACTGGAGCACGTGCCTCTTGGCAGGTCTTGTCCTTCTCCCCATTCCCTCTGCCTTGCTAAAAACCATTACATTGCATTCCTAAAGCTAGCCCCCAAGGTCCATTCCCTTATTTGGCCACTTCTTCCTCCTGAGGAATCGGAAGCCCCCTTTGGTTCATCTAATTAACATGCCCAACCAAAATTAAACACCTCATTCCAAAACAGGGTTTCTCCCTTTACCTTTATAAACCACCATATGCCTGTGTGCCACATCTGTCTACTCTCTATCCAGAGGCAGTCCTTTGTCACAGACCTCCCCTTCTCTTAAGAATCACACCAGCAAAGTCATTTGCTACTACTTTCCGCCTGAGTCAGAAAATAGCCATTTTAACTTTTCTTTCCCACTTAATAAAGGGTCTCTCTGTGAAAACAGGTGTTTGGGTGTGGTTTGTGGGTCTCCTTCAGGTGCATCATGTGAAAAGTCCAGTCTAGTTCCAGACAATTTTCTGTAACATTAAGAAACGCTGTATGACTTCAGGCAAAACCAACAGATGAACAACTGAGCCCAATACAAACTCCTGCTCTACTGAATTAAAAAATGGTTGTAGGTGTGGAGGAGAGGGAGGGAATTCAGTGAGATTACTCTGTAGGTTAAAGCACATGCTTGACACTAGAATTCAATCCCTGGAACCTTGTAGGTACAAGGTACAAGGAAAGAATCAATTGTTTTCTGAATCCCACACATGTGCCTGACATGCACGCACTACCACCCACACACACATAAATAAATGTAATTTTGTTTGTTTACACATAAATATGCACACACGCACCCATCTAAGTGCCCATAGAGGCCAGAAGAAGCAGTTATGAGCTGCTCAATGTAGGTACTGGGAACAGAACTCCATGCCTCTGGAAAAGCAGCTTTCTTTAACTACTGAACCACCTCTACAAAGAAAAAATTTTAATTAAAAAAAAATTATGAGAATATGCCTGCATGTATGTGAACAACATGCATGCTTATGCTCATGAAGGTCAGAAGAGGACATTCGCCCCTGGAACTGGGAGTTATAGATGGCTGTGAATTACCGTATTGGTGCTGGGAACTGAACCCAACCAAGTGCTCCGCAAGAGCCAACGTGCACCCTTCACCACCGAGCCATCTCTCCTACCTCCACCATTAAAATAAAATTTAACAGATAGTAGCTATTATTTAAGTCAGTATGCTAGACAGAAAATGGTCCCTCAAAAATGCTTGTGTTCTAATCCTTTGACCTACCAGTGTTACCTTATAGCAAAAGGAATTTTGCTAATGTGACTAGGAATCTTGAGGTGTAAACATTATCCTGGGTTATCTGAGTGGAGCCAACAAAACCACAGTGGTTCTTAGTTACAGTGGGGACAAGGAGGTGGAAAGAAGAGTCAGGAAAGACGGCAACAGAAGCAGATGTCAGAACACTGAGAATGAAGCTTTCAAATGGACAAAGGTGCCAGAAGTCAAGGTAGGCAGAAGGGTCTAGAAGCTGGAAAGGGCTAGGATACAGATTTTCTCCTAAGAGTTTCCAGAAGGAATGAAATTGTACCCACACTTGATTCTGACTTGATAAAACCCACTTTAGACCTCTGGCCTACAGAACTAAAAAACATTAAGTGTTTAAGTCACTAATTTGTTTTTCAGACAGAGTCTCCTAGACCTCATTATGTAGATCAGGATTGGCTTTGAACCCACAGGAGACGCACTAGTCTTTGCCTCCTGAATGCTGGGACTAAAGGTGTACAACGTAAAGCCTAGTTTAAGCCACTAAACTTATAACAATTTGTTACAGCTTCAAAACTAATACAGATACTCAGATCTGAAGTTGTGACAAGCAGGGGGAAAAAAAAAGACCCAAATAGGAAGTCTTTCATAACACACTTTCCAAGGAGAAAAATGCTAAGTAATTTTGTATTTGATTAAGTAAATACTAATATATAACAAAATAGTTATAAATTCAAATTTTCAAATCTTAGCCACTGGATAAAATCATGAATACTCCTTTTTTTCTTACTATGAATCAATAGATATTCCTATTTGAATCAATGTGTTATAAAACAATTTATTCTCCCTCAAATGTACATGATTAAAGGACACAGATAATCACCACCCTGCATATATGGAGCAGTAATTAATACAGACTTGGGGATTTAAGCTATTTATTTGACCTTTTTAATTCCTTAAAATATGACAAGTTTTAAGAAATGCTTAGAAGAAGCATGAGGCTTATCAAGCATGGCAGCCACTCTTGTAGTCCCCATACTGAGGAAGGAGGAAGTAGAAAGGTCACGAGTAGGAAAAGTCAGCATGGAATACAAAACTAGTTCAAGCTAGCCTGGTCTCTAAAGCAAGACTCCTCCTAAAACAAAACAAAGCATGAGTCAAATTTGGGTTAAGGCACAACTCAAGATTCATTGAAAGAAGTGACAATCAAAATGCTGCGCATTTAAAATATTTATGAGCCCAAGACCTTCATCACCTAAAAAAATCTTCAACCAACTTAAAAGTGATCAGACTGCATCCAGGTGGTGATGGCACATGCCTTTGATCCCAGCACTTGGGAGGCAGAAGCAGGTGGATCTCAGTGACTTTGAGGCCAGCCTGGTCTACTAATCTGAGTTCCAGGACAGCCAGGGCTGTTACACTGAGAAACCCTGTTTTGAATTCCACCTTCTCCCCCCACACAAAGTGATCAGACTGCTATACAAATTCATAACAGTTTGATAATCTCCTTTGATAAAATGTATCACTTTGAAAAACAAAACTACCCTAACTATATGCATCTATGAACACGCCCAACATTCCATTCCCTGCAATCAAGTACTTGAGTCATCACAGCTCAGTTGCCATGAGCAATGAATGGTTCACAGCAGAAGAATGTTGTTTTTCCATTCAAATATACATAAGTGCTCTATTGTTTGCAATGGAGTCAAAACTCACAGATGATAAAAAGATAACTTTAAATACTCTAATTAACAAAATAAGGCCAATAAGTGCTAAAGATTTTTTACTGAAGAAATATGTCTTCCAAATTACATAAATGAAAGTGCTCTGTATTTTAAGTGGACCTTCCTTATATTGCATCATTTAAATATAAAGTATTTCCTTCAAAAAAAAAAAAAAAAAAGTCCCAGCCAGAGGGACAGGATGAAGGACATAAAAAGGAAAACAGCAGGAGAGAGAGATGAATTAAAGTAAAATAACACATGTATGGAAATGACACATGTTGTAATGAAAACCACTGCTTAGAATGTGATGTTAATGTTTTTAATCACACCTTCAGTTGGGTGGGGCACTGCACATCTATAATCCTGTCACTCTGAGGATGGAGACAGGAAGATCAGGACTTCAAGGCCAGCCTTGTCAACATAGCAAGTTACAGAAAGCTGGAGATTAGTATGGGGTACACGAAATCCTATCTCAAATGGGGTATAGGAGATGTCTTTACGAGGCCCTATGTTCAACCCCTAATACCAAAACCAAAACTTCTGATATGTCAATTCAACGAGACACTTTTGAATACATTTGCGGTTGGATCAAACACCTCTGAATAGACTATAGCCCATTTAGAACCCACACATTCTGGAGGGAAGCACACTTAACAGGTAAGTGAAAGTGAAATATGTGATTTGACAGTGAAGCTCTGCAGATCAACTTTCAAACTGGAAGTTAAATAAAAGTGGGTCTGTAAAACAGACAAGACAGGTAAAGCAAGGACATGCCGACATCAGGGCAACAGGGAGAATAAAAGCCCAAAGAAAATAATATTTACCAGGGTTGTAGCACTTAAACAAGAGTTAGTAACCTGCCATTAACCTGGGAGAATTTTCTAAAAATAATTTCCTCTGTTGCATGGTTTTGAGTAAGATACTTGTTGAAAAAGTCATTTATACTGACATTCAGTCCTTTTTTAACAACAAAAATATAAGAAATTAATTTCAATTAATGCTGTCAAGAACGCCACCATTGAGCACCTAGGGTATTGAACTCATGGTGTCTTCATTACCAATTAAGGAAAAGATGTCAGAGCTGTGATTCCAACTCTAACGGCCTAGCTTTTCATAATATAAACTATCAGTTAAGGCATGCACATTTCCAAACACATTCTAAAATGACTTTTTTTTTTTCATTTAAGTTTTGTACTAGCTTCAAGTGGGCATTTTTAAGTAGAAATATAAATTTCAACCAACTTTCTAAAGTATTTTGTTCCTGTTAATTACTAATTACATATATCATTATTCAAAATAATTTCATTTTCTTAGTAATACAGAATATCATTTTAATGTCAATATAATCTAGAAATGTGGTAATCTTACTGATATGCAAGTTTTAAGAATAAATATGTTTTCAATAGGAAATTCAAACTCATAGGCAAACAAATATATACTTCAAGACAAGGCTTCTCTGTGTAACCCTGGAGCTCGCTCTGTAGGATAGTTTGGCTGGAACTCAGAGATCTGCCTGCCTTGCCTCCTGAGTGCTGGGATTATGTCACCACTGCCCAGCTGACGTAAACTTTTTCAAAGCTATTTGGTGAATAGTCATTCCTATTTTCTAAAGCTGCTACTAAAAAGTATATCCTGGGTGTTTCTACTAGAATTTTCTTCAATTCATTTATTTTTATGTGTATGGATGTTTAGCTTTCATTTATTTATGCCTGGGTACCATACATGTATCTCTCTGGTGCCTGTGGTGGCCTGAAGTAGGAGTTGGATCTCCTGAAGCTGGAGTTAAGACTGTTGAGACTAGAATGAGCGCTAGGGAGTTGAATAACGTCAACAAACTGTTTCCCTCAGAGGTAACAGAGAACTTCAAACGCGGGAAAAGCCTAACTGTCATGTCAAAACCTTTAATTGTTGAAGCTCTTAATATCTTGGGCTCAGCTCAGGGATTTAACTACTAAGTACACTACCCAAATTAAATTACTACTATCTTCTATCTTCTATAACACTTACACCCACTTTGCAAAACTCACAACATAGTCTTGAAACCTGCACAACAGCTTAAAGAAAAAGAGGAACTGTCCTGGAGTAGGAGTGGGCAAACAGCAGCAGAAAATTCCTCAATGTCAGTGCACAGTTGCAACATGAAGCAAAAACTGGAGACAAATAATAGGATTAACAAAGTAGTCTAGATCTTATTTCCAAGAGATGAGGAAGGTCTCGTTGGAAAGATACGGTACATAAACGCTTTAGAGTAAGTCTAACCTTACATCACACGCTAATAATTTTGGCTTATACGATAAACACTGGTTCCTTTTAATCAGTGTTAATTCTGTGCATGAGACTTCTAAAGTTAGCAGAGGCTCAAGCACCTGCTCACTTGGACTTGGATGGTTTCATCACAGGATCCTTAAGTGCACACAGCTCTTCCGGGCCAGTGAAGCCCGTAATCACCTCCCATCAGATTCCAGGCAGAGAGTGCGAGTCACTGGGCAGACTCCACCCTGCCAACTATTCCAGCTTTCCTGCAGGGCTGGTCCCATCAGGCCCCAAGCCGCACTCTCCCGGGAGAAGGCAAGACGGATAAACGAGGGAAGTACGCTTGAAGTTACCGGGAAGCGAAGGGCAGGGTCGAGCCGGAGCCGCCCTCCGCTCACACCTAGTGCCCAGCACTTGGGGGGTGGAGGAAGGCCAGCCTCGGCTACTTGGAGTTCGGGGCTAGCTGGCGTGCGGGTTTTGAGGCCCTGTCTTCCCTGCCTCACCCCGGAGTCTGAACCTCTCCCGTTTCCTCGGAACAGCAGAGCCGCGGCGGAGGGAGCAGCGGAGCCCGGGAGGCTGCGACCCCGCGGCTTCCGCCCGCCTGCACGCTAGCGGTGCGCACGCGCCGCGCTGCCTGCCGGTGGGCCGCAGGCTGACAGCCCGCGCGGGCGGGGGTCCGCAGGGGTCATGGTTCACAGCGCTCGCAGAGTCTCTCACCTCGGTAAACGGGTCCATCGCCCCAAGCCTCACGTGTGGACGACGAGACGGTGGGTCCGGTGGTTCAAATTCAGGAAAAGGAAAGAAGTGAGTGCGAGCTCGGCGCAGCTCCTGGAGGAAGACCGGAGGCCGGGCGGCGGGCTCTCCCACACCCAGTCGGCTGTGCCCACAGCGGCAGGGTCTGCCGGCTACCACGGCCGTTCAAATTTGAATTTCAGCGCCCCGGACGGCGCGCATGCGCGCGAGGCGGGCGCGGCCGGACAGCGTTTGTCCCCGCCCCAGAGCTCGGTCACGTGACACGGCGGCGCGGCCCTGACCGGAGCTACCGGCCTCCTCCCTTGCGGTCGTGGCTGGGGACCGTCCTGCCATTGAACTGCTTAGGGAGAGCGCCTGCCGCCACGCACGCACCCCCGCATGCCCTGACAGGTCCTGTGGAGGTCCGGTCAGCTCCCGCCGCCCTGCCTTCTTCCTCCATGGGCAGTACGAGCCCGGTGCGGTCCCGCCGGCTCTCGGGCCGGATGTAATTTGTCTCCTGCTACCAGAAGAGTCGTTGGACTACAAGCTTGACCCTCCTGAGAGGCCACTCTGGTGGGTCCCACACTCGCATCCAGTGACTAGTTCTTTGTCCTTGGGGAAAATGAGATAACAGTAATAGACCGTGCAATAAGTTCATTCACAGGCCCTTCTGTTTCAAACCCCAGACAACTGTACCAAATGTCAGCGCTGAGAACCACTTGAGAAGCCTTCCAGTTCAATCTTCCACATTTGAGAGAAGGGACAATTGAAAAGTCCCTATTTAATAAAAGTTCCCGTTTACCAGCCGGTAAGCAGGACAGAAACTACTTCCCCAATATGTCTTAATCTAATTTCCTTTTTCCTCTTCCTGGGAGGGTCTTCTGGAATTTCTTAGTGTCTATCCTTTGACCTTCAGACCCAGGATTTCCAAGAAGCAGTGTCTTAAAACACAGGGCTGGTAAAAAACAAACAAAAAACAGGGCTGTCAAAACGCTGGTTGTAGAACTGTTTGCCTTTGTACTCAAAAAGGTTGAAAAAGCACCCAAATCTGCATGTACTGTGTGCCCAGGTTGGAGCTGTGAGACCTAAAGTCCTTAGGAGAGTGTCTTAAAAAAATAATAATAATACATTAGCAAGGCCTGTGGTGAGTTCATGTGGTTAAATGGGTCCACTACAGTGCTTTCCTTATTCTGCAGAAAATCCTTGTGAACATGTTGAAGGGTCAAGTCCAGAGTCAGAAAGCTAAATAAAAAATAGGAAGCTTGGGACCAGCAGCAGGGCTCTTGCAATGAAAGTACTTGCTGCCAAGCCTTGGGACCTGAATTCTAGGCCCAGAATCAGTTCTACCAAATTGTCTTTTGACATGCACACACACAGTAAACAGATAAATGTAAAACAAACAAACAAAAATGTATGGACTATAATATACTGAATTCTGGCCATGGAATTAGATAAACTTTTTAAGAATCCAGCTTCCACAGTGGGGCCATGGTATAACAGGAATAGTAGACTTTCTCATGTCTTTGGAGCTGGGGTAATGATAAAAAATGAGAAGACCTTTTTCTAAGTGTGTCATGTACGGGGTTGTTGGAATATAAGTTAAACGTGCTACCTATGAGCCAAAGGGAAAGGATGCCTGACTCTTTTTCAAGTACTGAACGGTAAAGGGGTGGATGTCAGTAAGGTGTGGCTGTGTAAGTCAGTCTTGGGAATGAGTCATTGGAAATTTATGTAGCCGTTGTGCCTCCTGGCTGTTGCCTCGGTGATCCTTGGTTTCGTGGTAAACAACAGTTTGATTCTAGCCAGCTTGAATAAAACAGTATAGCTACTCTAAACTTGTAGTTTCTCTCTCCTTACTAACGCTGAAGCACTGGCCTTTGATTATGTTGTAACTGTAGTGGCAGTAGGGACAGCAGCTCCCACCACCATGTATGAAGCAACTGGTATATGCCAGAAACCATGCTACTGATTCAAGGTTACCCCCACACTGCTGCAGTTGTTTCCTAATATGTTTACATGAATTTCTGACCCATGTCACTCTTAGGTTTATAACCAGGAATAATTTTTTTTCATTAAAAAAAAATCATTGCTGGCTAAGGTTGTAATGCATACAGTCTCAGCACTTAGGAGGAGGAGGCAGAAAAAAAGTCAGGAGTTCAAGGCCAACCCCTGTCTAAGAAAAAGAAGAAAAGAAAAAAATATATACTTACAGCATTATATTCATTTAAGATGATACCCAAGGGCTGGAGAGATGGCTCAGCAGTGGAGAGTATTAGCTGTTCCAAAGGACGCAATTCCCAGCACCCAATTGGTGGCTCATAATCGTTTGTTACTCCATTCCATGGTGTCCAGTTCCTCCTTCAGCCTCTGTGGACACCAGGTATGCACATGATACACAGAAATACAGGCTGACAGAACATTCATACACATAAAAATCTTTTTAAAAAGACAAAGATCTCAAGCAGAGTATTTCCTCTTTGAATGATCTCTTTTTTCATACAATTATGTCTCTTGTAGATAAAATTAATGGAGAGCTAAAATAACACAAAAATTGGTAGCATTACCTCATCAAGGATACTTCAAATATATATATTTCCAGTTAATTTTTCAAAATTCATATACATTCTCACAACTGACAAAAAATACAATAACTTAGATATTTATATTTTTACAGAGAGAGAAAAGGCCAAGACCTGACCAGAAAGCGGTGGCAAGAAGGATCAGACAAAAGTTCTCCAACTCAGGTTATCTGGCTGACTGGCCACTTCTTTTATATGTGTATTGTGATGAAGAAATAAGAACCAACAAAAGTTGATATCAAGTGGGCCAAGGCAGGATGATTTCAGTGCAGGACTAGCCTTGGCTGCATAGTGAGTTCCAAGCCAGCTTGGGTTACGTAGTAAGACCTTGTTTCAAAAACAAACAGTATTCTATATATAGGTGGGCATGATGGTGTATGCTTGTAATCCCAGTCAATTTGAAGTGACTGAGGTGTGAGGATCACAAATTTGAAGCCAGCCTGTGTCATTTAGTGAGACTCTATCTTAAAGTAGCTAAAGTTGAGCTTGGGTGTAGTTCAGTGATAGAGTGCTTGTGTAGCATGTAGGAGAAGCCCTATGAACAATCCCTATTCCTAGGAGTGGCAAGAGAATATTTCTAAAAATGAAGTATGCTATTAATTGCTTTTAGCTTTATGTATTTTTTTCCCTTTTCTAGTTTAATGAGTGAAAATGTTTCAGTTTCTTCAGGAAGGGTTCCCTGTGTCCCAGAATAGCCTCAAATTTATTATGCAGTTGAAGATGACCTGATCTTCTTCCTGCCTCCACCTCCCAAGGGCTGAGACTACAGGTGTGACACCATACCCATCTTATAATGTGTATGTGTGCATATGCATACTCACATTTATTTCATTAGGCTGTTTTCACAAAACTTAATTTATTATTTATTTTTGGTGTCTTGAGACAGGGTCTCACTGTGACCTCAGACTCATGGAGATCTGTCTGTCTCTGCCTCTTGCTGGGATTAAAGGTCATCACTACTACTCCTTGATTGATACCCATATTCTTAAATGAGCATCAAGGATAAATTTCCCTTAAACTTGAATTAAGGAAATACATCAAGTTTATTGTACTACATAGTCTTCTACCATGTCAAAAGTCATGCCTTCACTCATTAAACCTTCCAGATGCCAGAGTCCATTAAATCCATTTCACTTTCCTTTCCCCTATACTCAAGAGTGCCATCATCACAGTTGTGTTAGTCCATCTTCTGCTATGACAGAACATCAAAAAATAGTCTTTTTGTTTATGTTTTAATACAGCCTGTATATTGTTCTGGCTGTCTGGGGCTGGTTGTATAGACCATAGAGATCCTCCTGCCTCTGCCTCCCAAATGCTAGGTAGGACTAACAGAATGCACCAAAATGGCCAAAATTTAGTAACTTTTGAAGAGGTTTATTTCTTATAATTCTGCAGACTGAGTAGTCTAAGGTCCAGGATCCACAGTTAATGAAGGTCTTCTTGCAAAGCAGAACCAGAGAGGCAAGAGAAAACATACAAGACATGGTATTAAACTAGGGCTGGAGAGATAGCTCAACACTTAAGATGTGCTGCTCTTCCAGAGAACCTGGGTTCAGTCCCAGAACCCACATAGTAGTTCATGATCATCTATCATTCAAGTTCCAAGGGATATGACACCCTCTTCTGAACTCCCAGACTACCAAGTACATATGTGATACATACACATGCAAGTACAACACTCATACATATAAAATAAACAAACCCCAAAAGAAATTTTAATTAAAACTATCTAAGTAAATGGGTATTAACCATTCCTCAGAATGCAGCCCCCACTTGGCAAACACTGTTGCACTGGAGGCTAGGCACATGCTTTTGAAGGAGCACACTCAAACCAAACACCAACTCCTCAGGTCCATCCACAGTTGTCACTGAGCCCTCAAGTGCCATTTTCTGATGAGTTATAAGAAAGTACAATCTCTATGCAAGCTGACCCCAACATTCCTCAAACCTTCCACCTATATTGAACTGTCTCTTCCCATCTACTCATATATATGGTAGCACTTGGACTCAACTCAACACTTGGAAATGCCCAATCCTTACCTCAGACTTGTCATTCTAGAGTGGGTTTGTTTTTGAGACAAGGTTATGATACTCAGTAAGTTCTAGGCCAGCCTGGGCTGCAGAGCTGAGACCCCCTCCCACACACATCAAAGGCTAGCAAGATGGCTCAGTAGTAAAATGCTTGTGGTGCAAGCCTTTTAATGTGAGTGTGATCACAGACATGAGAACCAACTCCACAGAGTTGTCCTCTGACTTCTAGCATGCCCTGGCATGGTTGTGCCCACTCATAATACATACATACAAGAATAATAAATTTAAAAATTAAATATTTTGAGATTATGCTATAACATCATTTTTCCTTTTCTCCCTCTAACCCCCACATACACATTCTTCTTACATATTTGTGTATATATGTATATTTCTAAATACAACCTGCTCAGTCTGTATAATTGTTACAAGCAGTTTCCTGCCAGCCTGGTCCCAGAGTCATGTCAGTCCCAAGATAACATACAGAGACTCTATTAGTTATAAAGCTGTTGGCCAATGG